ACCTGCTTCTCCCTCTGCCTGTGTCTCTGCTTCTCTCTCTCTCTCTCTCTATCGCTCTGTCTCTCGTTAATAAGTAAATAAAATCTTTAAAAAAAAACATCCATGGGGATCCCTGGGTGGCGCAGCGGTTTGGCGCCTGCCTTTGGCCCAGGGCGCGATCCTGGAGACCCGGGATCGAATCCCACGTCGGGCTCCCGGTGCATGGAGCCTGCTTCTCCCTCTGCCTGTGTCTCTGCCTCTCTCTCTCTCTCCCTGTGTGACTATCATAAATAAATAAATAAAAAAACATCCAGATATGCTAAACCCCCAACTCTGGGCAAAGGGAGCAGGGGATGGGGGGGTATGGCGTTAGGAAAGGGTCCATGGGGGCTCCAACCAGATCTCTCGTGTTTTTATTTTATTTATTTTTTTCCATTTAAGATTCTTTATTTATTTATTAAAGAGAGAGGCAGAGACACAGGCAGGCTCCACACAGGGAGCCCGACGTGGGATTCGATCCTGGGACCCCAGGGTCACGCCCTGGGCCGAAGGCAGGCACGCTAAACCGCTGAGCCACCCAGGGATCCCCTTGTGTTTTTTTTTTTTTTTTCATTTTTTTTATTTTTTGATAGTCACAGAGAGAGAGAGAGAGGCAGAGACACAGGCAGAGGGAGAAGCAGGCTCCATGCACCGGACCGGGAGCCCGACGTGGGACTCGATCCTGGGTCTCCAGGACAGCGCCCTGGGCCAAAGGCAGGCGCCAAACCGCTGCGCCACCCAGGGATCCCTCCCCTTGTGTTTTTATTTTAAATTGTGGCAATATATGCATGATATAAAATTTGCCATCTTAACCATAAGTGTTGAGTACACTCACGTGGCTGTGCAGCTCTGATATTTTATGTCTTAAATGAGCAGAGATCTGAAACAAAGCAGGAGAATTTGTAAATGCTGATAGAGTGGTTTGTAGGAACATGGCAGTGGTGTGCTAGGAAATGGTTAACAACCAGCTTTGGTGCAGGGCAGCCCTGATGTGTAATGTTTACCAATTTCCCTGATGAAAATACTCCCATGGGGGCCAATTTCAAATGATAACTTGCTGTCACTAATGGGAAGTGTAAGGGGAGTTTGGAAGTATTTTTCACACTATTTCTCTCTCTCTCTTTTCTTTGGTATGCTGAAGGAGAACACACACACACACACACACACACACACACACTCAGTTGTAAAAGTATCAAGTTCCTCTGCAAGAAGACACCGGAAGCCAGCAAAAGTGGAGAGGGCTCATTCTAAGTTCCCCCGGCATCACGTCAAGTCCTTTAAAACATTATCCACAAATAAAAAGTAAAATGGCACCGAAGCCACTCGTTAATATAATGTACATGTGACTTTTATTTGCAATCCAGCAGCCGACTAGTGGATAGAGTGGCTGCATCTTGAGGCATTTATTGAAACGCATTACATAATTTCAACTCTACGGTTTTCCTTTTATAATTCAGGGCCCCTAATATTTTCTCCTAAAGTCTGAACTACCCGGGTGAGCCCTAGGTCTTGGGCTTAGACCGTGAGACACTTCCTTTCTTCTGGAAAACAGAGGCCCAGAGAAGTCAAGCCACTTGCTCAAGGTCACACAGCAAGTGAGCATTGGAGGTGGGGGTGAAACCAGGGCCTTGTGGATACTTTAGGCTTATTTTACAGATGAGGAAGGAAATTGATACTCAGAAAGGCAAAGGGTATTGATTAAAGCAAGCTGGGAGATCACACCAGGCTCCTGGCTACCAGATGCCCAAGGCTCCAGATCCTACCTCAGTAGATCTGGAGGATCTAAGTAGATCCTCCTACTTAGGGAGAGTCCCTAAGGCTCAGTTTGCAGGGGCTGTGATGGAAGACTGTCAGGCAGGCGAGCGGATTTTGTGGCCATGACCCCTCACATTTGTCCATCTCCCCCCCCTTCTAGAACCCTCTATTGGTGAAGGCTGAGAAGAAGGTCTCCTACAACTGCTGCAGCCAGGGCACCATCTGCCTACAAATCCAGATGGAGAAGAACACCTTCACGCCGGGGGAGAGGGTCATCTTCACCACGGAGGTCAACAACCAGACCAGCAAGTGCATCAAGACGGTCATTTTTGCCCTCTACGCCCACGTGCAGTACGAGGGCTTCACCCCCAACGCGGAGCGGCGGTCGCGGGCGGACAGCAGTGAGCTGCTCCGACAGGAGGCCAACACCCAGATCACGCCTTTCAACACCACCAAGATCGTCAGCGCCCTCAACCTCCCGCAGGTGCTGTCCGTGAGCAGCAGCACGCGCGACAGCGAGATCATGAGCACCCACTACGAGCTGGTCAGCACCGTCCACCTGCCCTGGTCCCTGACCAGTGTGAAGGCCAAGGTTCCCATTATCGTCACCAGTGCCCCTGTGGACGCAGCCAGCTGCCAGCCGCTGGAGGGGACGGCGTTAGCCCTGAGCCAAGAGTGCCAGAATTAAGTGCCCAAACTTCTAAATATTAAAAGCTCTATCAGACTCTACGGGCAGCCCTTTCTTTGCCTTGCGCAGATGGGCTTCAGATAAATCGGGTCGTGGGTGGCAGGTGCCTGAACCTCCCCACACTGCAGCCACTTAGGCGTCAGGTTCTCCCGTCCCCAAACGGTTTACAGAACGCTGGGGACAGATGAAGGGGACTGATCAGGCCTTCCAGTAGACCCCGCCCCGGTTAGTGCTCCAGACCCATGTCCTCACTGGGGGTCTCACAGTGCCTGGACCCAGGGTCCCCAGCTGGGGCCAGTCTACCCTCCAGGTGCACTAGCAAAGTCTGGCTGCACGGGTTTTCACCACTGAGGGGAACGGGCACTGCTCCTGGCCTTGGGTGAGTGGGGCCCAGGGCTGCTGCTCACCGTCCTGCAACGCCCAGGATGGCCTCACCCCAAGAGAATGATCCAGCCCCAAAGGTCCACAGTGCCAAGGGGAAGAAAGCTTGCATTCACTATCTGGGGGTAAAATTGAGTTTGATCCCTAGCTCAAGATACCAGAATAAATCCCTGATGGATCAGGCGGTGTAAACCAGGGTGACCCCCCAGTGCCTGTGAATTACCTCCTCTCTCCCTCCCACTCTAACCCTAACCCATGCATGCATTTAAATGTGTTCAGTATCCCAGGATGGTTATGGGATGCAGAATCTCCTGGGGGTCAGTGGAATCCCCTAACCCAGTGGGCCTCACCCAGAGGGATTCTGCCCCTCAGGGGACACTGGGCAACATCTGAGGACATTTGAGGCTGTCATGACTGCGAGTGCTCCTGGCAGTGAGGGGGGGGGTGGTCAGGAGTGCTGCTCAACATGCCACAATGAACAAGACGGCCCCCTTGTTAATTGAGAATGATCTGGCTCCTTGGGGCGCCTGGGTGGCTCAGTCTGTTAAGTGTCTGCCTTTGGCTCAGGGCATGATCTCAGGGTCCTGGGATCGAGCCCCCAGCATTGGGCTCCCTGCTCAGCGGGGAGTTTGCTTCTCCCTCTCCCTGCCCCTCCCCCTGCTCATGCTCTCTCTCTCTCTCACACACACATAAATAAATACAATCAAAGAAGAACAAGAACAAGAAGAAGAGAGAATGATCTGGCCCCAACAGATTCTTAACTATAGAGAACACACTGATGGTCACCAGAGGAGAGGTGGGTGGGGGATGGGTTAAAAGGTGATGGGGATTAAGTCATGCACTTGCTGTGATGAGCACCAGGGGATGTATGGAAATGTTGAATCACTGTATTATACACCTGAAACTAATATTAGTGTATGTTAATTAAGTGAAATTTAAATGAAAACTTTAAAAAGATAATGATCTGGTCCCAAATGTCAGCATGGGCGAAGGGGGAAAGACGCTGGGCTAGGGGCAATCCATGAGGGCAGGTGGTTGCCAAGTGCCAGGGCTCAGTCTGTGGGCCTCTTACCCAAGTCAGGGCCTGTCCCTCCTACACTCACAGCCTCTCAGGGCTAACCCACGTCACTCAGGGTAGAAGCCAAAGTTCCCCCAGCACAGGACCTGCATATCTGCCCATGTCTCATCTATGATCATTGGTCACCTGCACCTGACCTTATCCCCTACATTCTGTCCTCCCTGCAAATAAAAATCCAGGATCCCCCATTAAGTTTGAATTTCTGAAGGACAATACTGTTTTAGCAGAAGTATGTCCCATGCCATATTTGGGATATGCTGAGGCTGAAAAAATAATTTGTTGTTCATCTGATATTCCAATTTAACTGGGTATCCTTTACTTTTCTTGGTGATCTGATTGCTCAAGCAACTAGAAAGCTCTCAGCACAAATCAGGCCACCTCTGTCCATTGGGTCCCCATGGCACTCACGCTGTCTCTGCATGATCAGGAATGAAGGAAGGACTTTCCTGACACCACACCGTTCTTATTCTTCTCCCACTTCTCAGATTTTTTGGTGTCTGCTTTCATCAAAACCACATCATCCATACCTCCTCTTTCAGGAAGCCTTCCGGCCATACCAGTCCAGCACCTCTCACCCTCTTCTACCAGGTCCTGAAACATGGATGACCTTCAAGGGTCATCTCTGCAGACGATAGGTCTGAATAGTAATAAGAAATAATGAGGACAGGGATCCCTGGGTGGCGCAGCGGTTTGGCGCCTGCCTTTGGCCCAGGGCGCGATCCTGGAGACCCAGGATCGAATCCCACGTCGGGATCCCGGTGCATGGAGCCTGCTTCTCCCTCTGCCTATGTCTCTGCCTCTCTCTCTCTCTCTGTGACTATCATAAATAAATAAAAATTTAAAAAAAAAGAAATAATGAGGACAATAACACCACGGCAAGGATCGGCTCCATTCACATCACACTTTCCTTCTTCCTCCTGGGCACATGGCTGGACTACATTTCCCAGCAACCCTTGCAGCCAGGTGTGGCCATGTGATTGATCTGGGCAATGAGAGGTAAGATGATCACAGCCAAGCCAAAGGCCGTGTGACTGATCTGGCCAAGTGATGTGATTCAGGCCAGATCCATTAAAAACTCACCACAGGAATCTTGTTCTCCCCTTTTTGCCAGCTGCTTGGAGAGGAGTGCTCGAACGGGAGCTGCCCAGGAAAGGTGATCTGTGCTTGATTGTTGGAAACACAAGGAATAAAACTATTGAGTAAACAACATCTGCTGTCGGGGCACCTGGGTGGCTCAGTTGGTTAAGCGTCTACCTTCCGCTCAGGTCATGATCCCAGGGTCCTGGCATCAGGCCCCAGGTTGGGCTCCCTGCTCAGCGGGGAGCCTGCTTCTCCTTCTCCTCTTTGTGCTATCTCTGTGTCTCTCTCAAATAAATATTTTGTTTTAAAGATTTTATTTATTTATTTTGTATTTATTCATGAGAGACACACAGAGAGAGGCAGAGACACAGGCAGAGGGAGAAGCAGGCTACATGTAGGGGAGCCCGATGTGGGACTCGATCCCAGGACCCCAGGATCACGCCCTGAGCTGAAGGCAGACTCAACCGCTGAGCCACCCAGGTGTCCCTCAAATAAATAAATTCCCCCGAGAAAAGAAAAAATCTGCTGAAATTGACGATTGCTCATTCCAGCCATTAGTCTACCCTAGGATTTCTTCAGCTCTGCACATGGACATTTGGGGTCAGATAATTCATTTTATGGGGAACAATCCTGCACATTGTAGAATGTCGAACAGCATCTCCTGCTTTTACCCACTAGATGCCAGTAGCATCTCCCAAGTTGTGACAATGGAAATTTCTCCAGACACTGCCAAGTATCCCTAAGATGGGCAGAACCACCCTCAGCTGAGAGCCTCTAGTCTACTCTTATCATACAAGTAACTACAAGTAGCTACATTTATGGAGGCTTTTGGACATTTTGGGGACCCGGAATTCAATGCAGCCACAACTAAACCTGTCATCTCGTCTTCCCCCCATTCCCTACCTCACCTGTTCCTTCTTTAGCTCTCTGTGTCAACGAAGACCCCATCTGAGCCTTTTATTCTCCCAAATTCTGCTTCTTTTACTTCCTAGGTAACTATTAAACCTCTCCACTCCTCCCATCTCCCCTGCCACCGCCCTAATCCAGGCCACCATCAATGCTTACCTGGATGATTGCTGCAGCGGGCTCCCAAGTGGCTCTGCTCTCACCCCTGCCCCGTTAGTTCACCGTCCACCCAGCAGCCAGAGAGAGAGAGAGAGAGAGCTTTTCAAAATGGAATTTGTGATTACAGGCTTGACTGGAGCTGGAGAAGCCCCTCCCAAGAGGCCCCACCCACATGGCTCTTGGCAGGAGGCTTTTAGTTCCATGCCACCTGGGCTTCTTGGGTGTCCCCGCAACATGGCAGCTGGCTTCCTCTGGAGCAAGTGATCCAAGAGAGAGCAGGGAGGCCACGATGACTTTTATGACCTAGTCTCAGAGGCGTTTGACACAATCGCTCCTGCCAGATTTTGTTTGTTCTTACAGACACTCAACTCACTCACTTCAACCCGCACTCACAGGGAAGAGAATTAGGATCCACCTTTTTAAAGGGGTGTCGAAACATTGGCAGATTTTTGTGTGTGTTTTGTCTTTTTTGGTTTTTCGGTTTTTAAGTAAGCTCTACACCCAACGTGGGGCCCGAACTCACAACCTGAAGATCAAGAATCACATGGTCTATGGATGAAGCCAGCCAGGTACCTCCTTGTGGGCACATTTTTAAAAACCACAATCCCTAATCAATCCCTTGACAAAGCCCATCAGATCCACCTTCAAGATCCTTCTGGACTCTTACTCTTTCTATTATCACCACGCTGGTCCTGCAACTCGAGTGTCCACGGACGGATGAGCCGATAAATGTGGTCCATCCACATGATGGACATCACATCAGCCTTAGAAAGGAAGGAAATCCTGATACACACTACAACATAAATAAGCCTCGAGGATGTTACCTAAGTGAAGTAGGCCATCTCAAAAGGATAATTCCCCTCTACGTCTATGAGGTCCCTAGAGGCGTCCCACCCACAGAGACAAGAGAGAAGGTGGTGGGCGCCGGGAATGGGATGGGAGTGGGGAGTCAGTGTTTCATGGGAACAGAGCCTCAGTTTTGCAAGATGAGAATGTTCTGGAGAGGGATGATAGGGACGGCTGCACAACCATGCGAATGCACTTGAGGCCACTGAGCTGCGCACTCAAAAATGGCTAAGATAAATTAAGGTAAACTTATGTGTGCGTATTTTACCACCATTAAAATGTTTTTAATAACAGCAATACCCAGGCACTGAGCTATGCTTTCAATCTCTCCATCAACTGTGAGTCTGGACAATTGTCATCTATGGTCACGAATGCCCCATTTCACAGATGAGGCATCAGAGGCTCAGAGAAGTGCAGCGGGGGGCCCAAGCTCACAAAGCCAGGATGAGATCCCCTAACCACCACCCCGTAGTACCCCTCTGAGCACCACAGAGACTCTTATTTTTACTGTTTCAGCTAAGGAAGGAGGGACCCGTCTCAGAGACGCAGAACTGAGGCAGGTGACACGCCAGGCTGGGCTCCTCAGCATCAGTACGTGGCCAGGCTGAGATGGGAACCTGGGGTGGCCTGATCCTGTCCCTGGGGCTGTGGGTTTGAGTCCTAATTATATGCTCTCTTGGCCCCAGTTCCCCCTCTTGCAAAACTGACAGATTGTTAGGGAAGCAGCCAAGACCAACGTACCTGGGAAGGGCTGAGGGTCCAAATACAGGCTCTCCGGACCTTGGTTTTCTCTTCTGCAAAATCTTTAAATAATTATTATGCTTTAAATAATGTTATTAATAATGGTATCTGGTATTGTTATTGTCTATTAATTACTCTTTTTTTAAAGATTTTTTTAGTTTATTTATTCATAGAGAGAGAGGCAGAGGGAGAAGCAGGCTCCATGCAGGAAGCCCGATGTGGGACTCGATCCCGGGTCTCCAGGATCATACCCCGGGCTGCAGGCGGTGCCAAACCACTGTACCACCAGGGCTGCCTGACTATTACTCTTACTCACCTTGGCACAACTCTATACACGGGGCTGGGTCACTTGCCGTGGGGTGTCCTGGGCACCGTGGGTGTGGGAGGCTCCATGCCAGGAGCACCCCCAGTTGGAACAACCAAAAACATCTCCAGACACCCCAAGTGGAGACGGAGCCCCTGAGGGTTCTGGGAGCAGAATCGCCCCAAGTGGTAGCCCCTGTGCACATGGTAGGGTTGGAGGTCTACGTTGAGTTAGTGCATCCAATACTAAATGCCAATTCCCAGCTCTGCTATTTATATGCTGTGTGACCCTGGGCAAGTCACTTGCATCTCTGAGCCTCAGTATCCCCCCCTTCCATAAAACTCAAACTCATCATTAGTCCCTCTTCCCCAAAGACGCTGGATTAAACAGCCTACGTCTATAAATGCATCAGCCAAAGTAAGCGCTCACTCCACAGGCCCTGTTGTTACCACAACTGGGGGCTTCTAGAAGATTTTGACTGGCAATAGCGGGCCCCCACACCCTCCCCGCTGGCCGCCTCCCCTCTGGGCCCCAGATTCAGGAGGCCACACAGGCGGGGCGTTGGGAACACTTCCTGTGCGGTGGCCTGTGGTGCCCACTGGGACAGGTGGGCTAACGGGAGAGCACAGCTGGGATCACCCCACTTCCTGCCCTGGGAGGAGGCGCCTCTTGGGTCCCTTCGCCCCCACCCCAAAAATAACACCTCCCCCCCACCAGGAACCAAAGCCACCGCACCAGCTGCAGCCTCCAACTCAGGGGACATGGGACGGACGGGTGGGGCCCAGCAGCTGCCACCACGGCGCCTGCCCCGCTGGGAATGTCCTCCCCCCTGCTGCTGCCACCTCCGGCATTCCAATCCCAAGGGGGTGACCTGGCCTCCCCCGTGGTGGCCCGGGACACACGAGCTCCGAGCAGGCAGGGCCGCCCGGGGGGGGGGGGGAGGGTGCTCCTTTGCCACCCGGGGTGACCGGGGACCCTCCCCGGCCAGAACCCCCAGGTCCCAGGTGTCTTCAATCCTCACCTCAAGGGATTGTCTGAGGGGGAAGGGGCTGGTTGCCAGGACAACAGCCCCCCACCTCTGCCTCTGAACAAAGGGGCAGCCAAGAACGGCGTGTTCTCTCCCCGCCAACGTGACCGGCACATCCTGGCAGCTGGCACTGGGAGGGCCGGGCCCCGAGCCGCCGGGCCTGGCCGCCCCGGACAAGGCCGCTCAGTGGGGAGCGGTCAGGGGGTGGCCGGGCCCCCAGGGATCTAGTTCCTGGTCAACCGGCCCTGGGCCTCTGGCCTTCCGGTACATTCTGCCGAGGAAGTCAGGCTGCTCTGCCTGCAGGACTTCCCAGAAAGGCCACGGGGACTCACATGTCTGGCCCAAGCCGGACAAAGGCCACACAGGGCCCTTCCTGCTGCCGGGCCCCCTGACCCCGCATTCTGGGGCCAGGGGTGCCCAGTGGGACCCGCCGGGGCCTGGGAGGGGTTGGCCCAGGGGACAAACAGTGGGTCTCCGAGCAGCTCCCCTCCCCCAGGCGGTACCTCCAGTGCAGGGGACAGCGGGCAGCTGGCGCCACCAGGGCGGGAGGCGGGGCGGGGACAGGCCAGGGCCTGCATGTTAAAAGACCCCCGGTTTCCCGCAGCGAGCCGGCCCAAGGAGACAAAACCTTGCCTTCTGGCCATCGGGCGGCCGTGGGTCGGATCGTCCGGCTGCTGGCTGGGGCCGCACGGTTGGGGAAGACACAGGCAGGCCTGCTGTGGCTGGCGTAGGGCTGGGGCGGGGGGGTCCAGGACGTACGGGTAAACAAACTATTTCTTAGCATAAGTATGTCCCTTATAATATTTGGGCCATACTTATGCTTAAAACTATTCACTGTATATCTGGACTTCACATGTACCTGGGTCTCCCGGATTTTTATTCGGCGAATTTGCAACCCCAGGCCACGGGCCCTCAAAGAGGTAAAGTTAAGCTCATCAACGTCCTCCCACACTTGTTCCTCTGCGGCTCCTCGCCCCAGGGGGCGCCTGGGTGTCCTCCACCTCCTTGGGTCACTCACCGGAGGCCCAAGTCAGCCTCACCTTCCAAACCCGGGCCCGTTGGTGCCCTGCCGTGGTCTCTCCCATCCACCCCCACCTCCTGCAGGCCTGGTCATGGCCCATCAGCTCCCGCCTGCCCTGCCCTCGCTCCTGCCTTTCTCTGCATCTTGAAGTCTCCACCCCCTTCCCCAGAGACCTAAACAGGGGCCTCCCTGCTCTGAATCCCACAGTTGCTCCCCACTGCTCCAGGAATAAAGGCCAAAAGCCTCTGCTTGACATTCGAAGCCCTTTCCCCAGCAGGGCTCCAAGCAACCCCTATTCCCGGTTCCCAGCCCCCTCTCCCAGAAGGAGCGTGGTTCCCCGAGAGCTTCCTGCTCTGTCAGGACCCCAGGTGCCTGGGTCAGGTGCCCCCCTCCTCTGCCCACAGCCCTCTGTGGTTCCCATCTCCCGTGGGGTACAAACCCAAGTCCTCCCTAGCCCACCTGCCCTGCCCCCTCCCTTCCTTGCACTGGATCACTCTTCTCTGGCCACGAGGGCCTTTGCTGTTCTTCTAGCACACGAGGCCCAGTGTTGCCCCAGGGCCTTTGCACAAGCTATTGCTGTTGCCCAGAGCACACCTCCTCTCTAGAGAGCCTATTTCTCTGTTTCACTGCCTATCCAGTAGATCACGCCAGAGATGTTTAATAAAAACTTCCTGAATGAATAATCGATCACGGTGCCTGGAAGGTCCTCCTGCATACCCCTTCCATCTGCCTATGACTTCCACTTTTTTTTTTCCAAGATTGTATTTATTTATCCACGAGAGACACACAGAGAGAGGCAGAGACACAGGGAGAAGCAGGCTCCCTATGGGGAGCCCACTGTGGACCTCGATCCCAAGACCCTAGGATCACAACCTGAGCCAAAGGCAGATGCCCAACCGCTGAGCCACCCAGGCTCCCCCCTCCCACTTTTTCTTTAAGACTTACCTGAAGTGGGGGGGGGAGACTTACCTGAAGCAGGTGGGCTCGTTTTCCTCTTCCCCATTTCCTTTATTCATTGGGCAGCCCAGCACATCTTTCCAATGCTCCAACCTGCCCTTCTGACCCTGCTTCAGAACCTTCTGTGGCTCCCTAATGTCCTCAGGGCTCCTGTCAGCCCAGAACCTTCTGTGGCTCCCTAATGTCCTCAGGGCTCCTGTCAGCCCAGAACCTTCTGTGGCTCCCTAATGTCCTCAGGGCTCCTGTCAGCCTGGCTCTCGCCAAAGCGTCTGATGTCTCTCCCCTGACACCACGTCTCTTTTCCCTCTTCCCCCACATTCGACCCTCCAGCCTCACTTTGCACCTGCAAGCTCTCTGGTCCCCCTGCCTGGATTGTCTCTCCAGTACCTTCACCTGCCTGACGCCTCAGCTTCAACTTCGACATTACTTCCTCCTGGGGGCTTCCCAGGACCACCCACAACCTGGGCCCAGGCGCCACCAAGCATGTGCAGCCCCCATCACCTCTATTGTATGCACTTGGTCACCAGAGTCAACTCCTGCATCAGACATAGGACACCCAGCGCCCATGACCCTTTTAAGGGCCGGTGGAAATGGTTTGTTTTTAATTCATCTTAAAATCAGAAGAAAACAGGGATGCCTGGGTGGCTCAGTGATTGAGTGTCTGCCTTTAGCTCAGGTCGTGATCCAGGGGTCCCCGCAGGGAGCCTGCTTCTCCCTCTGCCTGTGTCTCTGACTCTCTCTGTGTCTCTCATGAATAAATAAAATATTTTAAAAAATCAGAAGAAAGTAATGAATATACTACCAATGCAGTTGTAAAAGATCATTTGCAATATTTTTTCACAGAGGGAGGAACCCACAATGACAAAAGTGCCCTTGGGCTGTGAAAGTCTTCTTCTTCTTTTTTTTTTTTTTTTGGAAGATTTTACTTATTTATTTGAAGGAGACCAAGTGAGCGAACACAAGCAGGGGGAGAGGCAGAGGGAGAAGCAGACTCCCCACAGAGCTGGGAGCCCAACACAGGGCTCGATCCCAAGACCCTGGGATCATGAGCCAAGTTGAAGGCAGATACTTAAGGGGCTGAGCGAAGCAAGTGCACCAGGACTGTGACAGCCTTAATGCAGCCCTGCTGGTCCCATGTGCGTCTCCCTATCGGATTATGAGTGTCTTGAAGGGGGAGGTGGAGGTTGAATCTCCAGGGCTGCCCAGTGTAGGCCTGTATACAGCAGGTGGTAAATAATTGCTTGTTGCATGACTGCATACACAATGCATCACTGGGTCTTCACGGCCAGGCCTGGCCTGGCTCACAGTAATAGGAGATACTTGAATGGATGGATGGATGGATGGATGGATGGATGGATGGATGGATGGATGGAAGGGTCAGAGGGTAGATGGAGGGGACACCCGGGGAAAACAGCAATCTGGGGCCAGCAGCGCCACCTTGTGGCACAACTCTGGTCTGTCTCTCTCTCCCCTGGGCTTCGTGGGAAAGAACTGGGGAGTTTTCTGAGCCTTTACACTGGAAAGTGTGGCCTTGAGGAGGAGGAAGAAGGAAAGGAAGAGGAGGAAGAGAAAGGGGAAAGGGGAGGAGTTGGGTACACTGAGACCTCAAACTCAGGCTGCCCATTTCTGGCCGTGTGACCCGGGGCAGGTTAATGAATCACTTCTGTCATCCTCGGCTTCCTCCTCCCCCAAAATGGAGAAAGTAAAAACGAGGCCTCTGAATAATGTAATAAAATAGCTCAGGAAACAATATGCGTCTTACCTCCCACCCTGGGGATCCTGGACGGGTGTCGCCCTCAAGGAGCCCACCAAGGCTGGGCGGTGACAGCTTCCAGGAGGACATGCCTGGAGGAAAAAAGGGGTCTGGGTTTGGAGGTAGAGTTGTCAGAGTCAGCAAAAACAAAAACAAACAAACAAACAAAATAAAATAAAAAGGATCCCGAGCTCAGTCTGAATTTCAGGTCAACCAGGAATAATTTTGAACATAAGTATATCCCAAATGTTGCCTGGGATATACTTCTACCCCCAAATGCATTCCTGGTTGACCTGAAATTCAAATTGAAGTCGGCATCCTCTATTTTGTCTGGCAGCCTTCGCCTTGGGGGGAGACTGAGGAGGTAGGCAGGAGGACTTCCAGGAGGAGGCGGCACCCGTGCAGAAAAGGGAGGGCTAGGGCAGCTGGGTGGCTCAGGGGTTTAGCACCGCCTTCAGCCTGGGGCGTGATCCTGGAGACCCGGGATCGAGTCCAGGGCGTCAGGCTCCCTGCGTGGAGCCTGTTTCTCCCTCTGCCTGTGTCTCTCATGAATAAATAAATAAATAATCTTAAACAAAAAAGAAAAGGGAGGGATAAGGGCCGGTGGGGCAGCGCCCGTTCCTCCCCCGCCCCACCATGTGCACATGCGCAGTGGCGAACGCCCTTGATTGCGCTCACAGCGACCTGGCGGTGGGCGGTTGAGTGCCACACTAGGAAAGACGGTGACCATGGCTGTTCCCCTTTTGTTCAAAAGCTGTGGCGCAAAATCACCAAGACTTTATTTTGCAATTCAGAATTGCGTTACATTTCCTAGACCAGGAATACTTTGGCCGTGTCCCAGCACTGGAAGCACAAGGCTACTAGACGTTTCTCCCAGTGTCTCTGGATCTGTGTGACCTTGGCCGACTCACTTAACCTCTCTGAGCTCCATCTATCCAAGAACTCACTCCACTCCAGCCACGTCACCTTCCTGGCTCTTCTCCAACTCACCTCGCGTGGTCCGCCTCAGGGCCTTTGAACCTGCCTTTTCCCCAGATCTCTCCGTGGCCTCTCCTCTCCTCCCTCACTTCTGCATTCCCATGCCAATCTGGGAAGCCTCCCTTGATCACCCGATTAAAAATCACACCCCACGTTCTCCATCCCAGTCCTTTGCCTTTCCTCGGTGACCTGACCCACTATGCGTTTCACTCACTGCTCTTGCTCGTTGTCTGTCTCCGGCCCCGGCCCCGAGCACCACGAGGCTGGCATCTGCGTTACCCACTTCTGCGTTCCCAGCACCCAGCACAGCAGCTCAATAAAAATCGCTGAATGAGTGAGTAGGAAAATGAGTGCACGAGGAGGAAAGCAGGCCAGCAGCAAACGGGACACTTTTAACCGTCGCCTTTAACCGTCGCAGCTGATTGCTTTTGTCCTTTCTCTGTCTCACACTCACTTGAGAATCTGACTAGCTGCCTGTGGTTACTTACATGTGATTATTCAGTTCCTCGATGTACAAAAGCCATATGGTGCTAGTGGCCCATAGCGAGTGGTGCGGAATTCTAGAGCATCCCCAGCCTCTCCGAAAGCTCGACTGCGCGGGGCTACTGTAGCCACTGTCCAAAAAATGCGCTTAGTCCCAGACACCAACTTTTTTCCCGTGTTCTTTGCGGAGGTTTCAGAGGCCTTGTCCCACCCCGCACAATTTAGCAGAAGTGGCACACTGGTGGCTCCTGAGCTGAAGATGGCCCTAGTTGGGTTTTGTTTGGTCCAATGGGTTTTTTTTTTAGAGATTTTATCTATTTATTCATGAGTCACACACACACACACACACACACACACACACACACAGAGGCAGAGGGAGAAGCAGGCTCCCTCCCGGGAGCCCAATGCAGGGCTCGGTCCCAGGACCCCGGATCACGCCCTGAACCAAAGGCAGATGCTCAACCACTGAGCCACCCAGGTGCCCCTCCAATGGTTTTCTACAAGGCAGGACACCTTTTTTAGTCTAGAATCCCCGCGGATATGGGAATCTCTGAGTGGGTCTTCCACAGGGCAACACTCTGCCATGCTGCCAACACTTTAGAGGAAGTATTTACTTCCCTTTGGCCCCTGGGGCCATCGGAGTTTGAGACTTTAGGATAAAGGAGTGGGGAGCGGGTATGGAATCCGAGTGGTGGCTGCTTCAGGAAGGGGTTGATCCAGGAGTCAGAGATCCAGGAGTTGATCCCTGAACTGCCCCAGGCCGACCTGTCTCTGGGCCTCAGTTTTCTCATCTGTAAAATGGGGATGCTAAAGGAATAGTTTTGGGGAGGATTAAGCGGTAACCCTGCAGGTCGGGGCGGGAGGAAAGCACTCAGCGTGTGCGGTCACCGCTGTGGTGAGGGCCGCTCATCCTGCTGGGTCGGGCTTGGCTCGGGTCTCCTGCCCGCCCAGGGTTGGGGCGCGGCTGCTGGCGTGTTGGGGGCATCAGACAGCGATCCCTGAGTTCTCATCGCCTCTGCAGAAACGGGGGACCCGACCTGGGGACCCCAGCCCTCGGATAGCACCTCCCTGGGCCGAGTCCATGGGATCCCTGGGCCGGGAGGGGGCGCCCTTGGCTGGGTCTTCCCAGGCGTCTTCCCGGGTGGGGGTCCCCCCACGCGAGGACCGCGCAGCCCGCACGCGCCCGCGGACAAAGTCCGGCCCGCCCGGGACTCCACTTGCGGCTCCAACGTCCCGGACGGGCGGGGGCGTGGCCTGGCGGCGGGCGGCCTCCAAACGCGATTGGTCCTCCTGCCCGTCATTCCCGAGCGCCCGCCCCCCCGGGTATAAAAGCCCCCACCCCCGGCCCGCGCAGGACGGTTTCGGAGCTGGCGGTCGAGCCCTGCGCGCCCCGCTGACCGCGGTGAGACGGGGGGGCCCCGGCCGAGGTGGGGGGGCGCGGTCCGGCGAGTCCCCGGACGTCCCGCGGGGGGAAGGAGCGGAGAGAGCCTTCCTGGGGGCTCTGCTGGTCTCTGCGGCCTGGGGAGGGGTCTCCATCCAGCCTGGGCTCAGCTTTCCTGTCTCTTCCCCCGCGACCCCCTCAAGGAACCCCGCCCCCCCCCCGATTTCTGGAACAGAGTGAAACTTTCAAACTCTCTCAATTGCTGAGACTTTCGTTGGGTGGGTGGGGGGGCGCGTGAAAGAGCCCCCTAGAAGGGGCGGTGTCTGGAGGGGGGTAACCCCGCCCCCTCCCGCTAAAACACGTCCCCTCTAAAAAGTGTGCTTGCTTGTGCAAACGCAGTGTGCGGGCGAGCCGCCGCCCGTCCTGCACAGGAAGTCGGGCCTCCCTGGGTCCTCGGGGCGCCCCTACCCCCCAGCCGGGGGGCCGTCTTCCTGCCTAGCGGAGCCCCCTCTCCAGCTAATGGGTCCGCCCCGCGGGGCAGCTCCTCCCCCGCCCGAGGGTCAGGTCCCGCCGCTGGCCCCGGGCAGGTCGCGGCAGACCCCGCCCTCTTCCCTGGGGTGGGTGTGGCCAGCGGGTTGCTCCAGGCGGCCGGGAAGGGCCTGCCCCTTATCTGAGTCCTTGGGACCTTGGTCACGATTGAGCTAGAACAGCCGGGCCTGGGACCTCGGTGTCTGGGAACTTCGGAGGCTGTATCTTAGCATGCCCTGGCTGCAGCTGGACGTCTACGTGACTGCCGGCCCCAGCTAGCCGGAGCCAGCTTCACACAGCTTGCAGAACCCCCCACCCACCCACCCAAGGACTTTTTTTTTTTTTTAATTTTTATTTATTTATGATAGTCACACACAGAGAGGGAGAGAGAGGCAGAGACACAGGCAGAGGGAGAAGCAGGCTCCATGCACCGGGAGCCCGACGTGGGATTCGATCCCGGGTCTCCAGGATCGCGCCCTGGGCCAAAGGCAGGCGCCGAACCGCTGCGCCACCCAGGGATCCCCCCACCCAAGGACTTTAGTGGGGTGCTGACATCGGCCGAGGCCACCCTTGGTTCAGCCCGCCCCAGGAGGGATCGATGGGCAGGGGCGATGGGAGAGTGCGCCTCCAAGGAGGCCGGGCGAGCTCAGGCTCCAGGGAGGGTGAAAGGAATAACTAACTGGACCTTGATCATGAGAACCGGGGGGATGGATGTGCCTACTCGCTCCGCTTCCCAGTTTGGGGACCTTAGTAACAAGCAGAAGCTCATTCCTGGCAGGCTTCACCCATGTGTGCAGCGGTTTTGTTTATTGAGCACCAGCTATGTGCCAGGCGCCGAGCTCAGCACCACATACGTACACAGTCACTCACTCTGCCAATCTGTAGGGACTCTGAGCTAGGAACGGTGATCCCCATTTTGCAGATGGGGCCGGCAAGGCTCTGAGAGGGGGTCCTGCTTTCCTCAAGCTCCCACTGCTGGTGAGTTGCCAAGCTGGGATTAGAACCCGTTTGGACGCTCCAGAACTGGTGCTCTCAAAACTTTAGTTTGCTGGGCTCTGCTTGGGGGACGGGGCAACCGGGCAGCCAGGAGGATGGGCCCCCTTCCTCTAGAAGGACATGTTCAGAATCAAGGTCAGGGGTTCACAGCAGGCTCCTCCCAGGGGAACCAGCCTTGAAGCCAGGTTCTACCTTTAGCTCCATTTTACAGGTGAGAGGACTGAGGCCAGGGAAGAGGAGGCTCCTTGCTCAACCCCGCACAGCATGGGCGGAGGTGGGACTCCTGCGGTCTAGGGTGATGATGGATTACCCACCTCCTCTCCCTGGCCAGCCAAACGGAGCACACCTGTGGTGGCTCCCGTGGTACCTTTAGACGTGTGCATTAGCCTCACCTGGAGAGCCTCCCTGGCCCTGCCTTCCCTCTGGAGTCTGACATGATTGGTCTGTAATAGGGCCAGGCGTGGTCTCTTCTACACAGTTTGTGGGGTGTTTTGTTTATACTTACCCTTTTTTTGAGGGGGGAACTGGTAATGTTCTCTACCTGGCTCAAAAGTCAGAGGCCTGCCCAGCTACCGGGTCGTCCCTGAAAGGTGGCCCCTATTTTTTTTTAATTTTCATTTATTTATGATAGTCACACAGAGAGAGAGAGAGAGAGAGAGGCAGAGACACAGGCAGAGGGAGAAGCAGGCTCCATGCACCGAGAGCCCGACGTGGGATTCGATCCCGGGTCTCCAGGATCGCGCCCTGGGCCAAAGGCAGGCGCCAAACCGCTGCTCCACCCAGGGATCAAGGTGGCCCCTATTAACAGTTTCTGATGTCTAAAGACTGTGCAAACGACTGTGCAAACACATGTTTCGCACTATTTGTCCCTGAGCATCCTCGTCCCATGAGTAGGTTTCTACTCTGCAGCCACTGCACTGGGCTGGCTCCTTGATTTCCCCAGGTCGTTAGCGGTACCTTGTTCCGGCCGACACAGGTGCACACGCCTCCACGCGCCCGGCAGTGCAGGTGTGGGACCACCATCCCCTCGAGGTTTCAAAGGGAAGGGGGCTCTTGAAAGCAGGGAGCCACAGCCAGATTGCGTCCTAGGTGTCTCCCCGAAGTATTGACAATTAGAGCCCTTGGAGTTGGCCGCCCGGGTGGGGCCCCGGAATCCGCTGCATCAGCAGCTCCTGAGAATGGGGCGACTCAGGGCCCCACCCGCCCGGCTGAATCAGCTCTCGCTCCAGGCCCCCAGGTGCTTGTGAGTGACTGAGAGGCAGGGCTCTAAGGACCCGGGGAGGGGAACCTGGTCTTCCTCCTGGAGGGAGGGCCAGGGCCGGCTGGACCCTGACGAAGCCCATCTGTCCCCCACAGAGCCCGCTGCGGAGAAAAATGTCTACCGACAGGACAGAAGCCACCCCAGAAGCCACCGCCAGCACCCAGGTGACAGGCGAAGAACCAGTCCAGCAGGTGAGGGCGGGGCTGGGACCTGTGGGAGAACCGTGGCCGGGAGCCGCTGGCCGCACCTGGGGTCAAAAGATCTCTTTGTGGGTGAGGGAGAGCCGTCACCTGGACCCCGGACAGGTGGGGACCGGGGCACAACTGGGAACCCCGGAGGCTTTGGGGAGATCAGGGGTATGCTCTGAACCTGCCTGCCTCCCCCACCAGCTGCCCTGTCTGCAGGTGCTCATAGGGTCACCCCAGGATGTCAGCCCCTGTCTTATCTCCCCCTTCCCAGATTAGCTAACTCTACCGGTAGTTGATAAATGAATATATTAGCATATAATTTACATGCCATAAAATTCACCCTCGGAGAAGGTGGTACTTAGTGGTTTTTAGGAACCTACCAAGTTATGCGGCCATCAGTACCCTACAGGGTTAGAACATCCTTTTTTTTTTTTTTTTTTTTTTTTAAGATTTTAATCCATCCATTTGACAGAGAACGTGCACGGGTGGGTACACACGAGCCAGGGGTAAGGGGCCGAGGGGGAGAGAGAAACAGGCTCCCCGCTGAGCCAGGGAGCCCTATGTGAGACTTGATCCCAGGACCCTGGGATCATGACTTGAGCCGAAAGCAGATGCTTAACTGACTGAACCACTCAGGTGCCCCTAGAACATTCTCACCCCCCCCAAAGAGACCCCACCCCATTAGCAGCCCCTCCTCATTCCTCGTCCTCCCCAGCAATGGCTCATCTGCTGTCTCCGTGGATTTGCCTGTTCTGGTCATTTCGTACTAACCAAGTCATACAACCTGAGACCCCCTGGTGTCTGGCTTCTCTCACTGTGTATCATGTTTTTGGGGTTTACCCACCTTGTAGCAGGTGTCACTGCTCCATTCCTTTCTTAAAACTGTGGTAAAATAACACACAACACAAAAAATACCATTGCGACGTGTACAGTTCAGCATTAAGTATGCTTATGATGTACAACCACCACCAAGACCATCAAATTCTGGAAGCTCTTCATCACCCCAGATGGGAACCCCACCCCCGTTACCAGTTAGTCCCCTTCCCTTCTGCCTCCCAGCCCCTGGCACCCACTAATCTGCCTTTTTTTTTTTTATGATAGTCACAGCGAGAGAGAGAGAGAGAGAGAGAGAGAGAGGCAGAGACACAGGCAGAGGGAGAAGCAGGCTCCATGCATCGGGAGCCCGATGTGGGATTCGATCCCGGGTCACCAGGATCGCGCCCTGGGCCAAAGGCAGGCGCTAAACCGCTGCGCCACCCAGGGATCCCCTAATCTGCCTTCTTTATGAATTTACCTCTTCTGGACTTTTCATATAAGTAGAAACATCATTTTTATAAAAGTAGAACCTCTTACGTTAGGTCACTAACGTAAGGGAAATCCTACAGGATTTGTCTTTTTTGTGTCTAGCTTATGTCACTGAGCACAATGTCCACTCACGTTGAGGCAGGTGTCAGAATGTCCATTTTAAGTCCGGCTACCGTTCCCTTATCTGGATGGACCACGCCCTGTTTATCCGTTCATCTGTCCACAGATACTTGGGTGGCTTCCACCTTTTGGCCACTGTGAACAATGCTGCTTTGAACCCGAGCGTCCAAGGATCTCTTTGAGATCGTGTTTTCAATTCTTTTGTCTATATACTCAGAAGTGGAATTGCGGGGTCCTAGGGTGCCTCTCTGTAATTCTTTCTAATTCACAGTTTCCCACAGTGGCTGTACCGTTTTATGTTCCCACCCACAAGGCCCAAGAGTTCCCCAATTTCTCCCCATCTTCACTATCATTTGTTAGTTTGCTTTGTTTTGGTGGTAACCGTCCTAACCAGTGTCAGGTTGTATCTCGTTGTTTTGGCATTTCCCTGGTGATCTGTGATGCCGAGTATCTTTCAAGTACCTAATGGCCATTTGGAGGCTAGGATTTTTTTTTTTAAGATTTTTTATTTATTTACTCATAGAGACACAGAGAGTGAGAGGGAGGCAGAGACACAGAGGGAGAAGCAGGCCCCATGCAGGGAGCCCTACATGGGATTCGATCCAGGGTCTCCGGGATCACGCCCTAGGCTGCAGGCGGCGCTAAACCTCGCCACCGGGATTGCCCTAGGATTTTTTTTTAAGATTTTATTTATTTGAGAGGTAGGTGGAGAGAGCACAAGCAGGTAGAGGGAGAGGGCTTCCCGCTGAGCAGGAATGTGACACCGGACTCAATCCCCGGGACCTTGGGATCATGATCTGAGCCAAAGGCAGGTGCTTAACCGACGGAGCCACTCAGGTGCCCCTGTTTAATTTCATTTTAATTTAGGTTTCGAGAGCCACCTGTGGCTAGCGGCCATCACGGTGGAAGGCGTATAGAACATTTCCATCGGGATCCCTGGGTGGCGCAGCGGTTTGGCGCCTGCCTTTGGCCCAGGGTGCGATCCTGGAGACCCAGGATCGAGTCCCACGTCGGGCTCCCGGTGCGTGGAGCCTGCTTCTCCCTCTGCCTGTGTCTCTGCCTCCTCTCTCTCTCTCTCTCTCTCTCTCTCTCTCTGTGACTATCATAAATAAATAAAATTTTTTTAAAAAAAAAAAGAACATTTCCATCATCACTGAAAGTCCCGTGGGGCAGTGCTGCATTAGAACCCCCCCACCTCATCACAAATACACACTTGAGAAGCACACAAGCCTCTCTGCCCCCCACCTGCTCCTATGACCACCCCTGTTCAGGCCCTGGGAAGACCCTTCTCCTCACCTCTTGCTCTAGGACATGAAAGCAAAATGTGGTCTACACACACATAATAGATTGTCTAGCTTTAGGAAGGAAGGGACCCCGACACCTGCCCCCACATGGATGGACCCTGAGAACGCCGGGCTCAGGGAGGGAACCCAGACCCAGGACACCTCCTGCAGGACCCCACTCCCAGGAGTTTCCCAGAGGAGGCCCATCCACAGAGACAGGAGGTGGTGGGAGCCAGGGGTGGGGCAGGGCTTCCTGGGGACGGGGTCTCTGTGTGGGGAGATGGAAGGTTCTGGAGATGGATGGTAGGATGATTTGCACGACAGCATGAGTGTACTCGAAGCCACGTAGAGATGGTGAAGATGGTAAGTTTTATATGTATTTTACCAGAATTTTTAAAAAGATCTTTATTTATTTATGAGAGACACAGAGGTAGAGACACAGGCAGAGGGAGAAGCAGGCTCCATGCGGGGAGCCCGATGCGGGACTGATCCCGGGACCCCAGGATCACGCCCTGAGCCAAAGCCAGACTCTCAACTGCTGAGCCACCCAGGTGTCCCATTTTACCACAATTAAAAAAAAAAATGAAACACCAGTGTGCTACCCCGGGGATGGACCCTGAGCCCACGATGCTCAGGGAGGGAACTAGACACAGGAGGCCCCACTGTGTGTGAGTCCACATGTGTGGCACGTCCAGGACGGGATCATCCACACACAGGAAGGGGGCTGGGGGAGGGGAGGATGGGGAGTGAAATCGCAATTGTGGGGCACCCCGGGGTCCCGGGCCCAGCCTGCTGAGCCTCCTGTCCCCGCAGCCCAGCGTGGTGGAGCGCGTGGCCAACATGCCCCTCATCAGCTCCACCTGCAACATGGTGTCCGCGGCCTACACCTCCACCAAGGAGAGCTACCCCCACGTCAAGACCGTGTGCGACGCGGCCGAGAAGGGCGTGAAGACCCTCACGGCGGCCGCTGTCAGTGGGGCCCAGCCCATCCTCTCCAAGCTGGAGCCGCAGAGTAAGTGAGGCCCCGGGGAGCCCCTACCCCTTGGGGCTCCTCCCTGTTCCCCCAAACCAGCCCTGTCCAGCCTTCCCGGCCCTGAGGGGAATGCACACGTGTGACTGACCCTTCCCGCCTTGTCCCCTGTCCTGCAGTCGCATCGGCCAGCGAATATGCCCACCGGGGGCTGGACAAGCTGGAGGGGAACCTGCCCATCCTGCAGCAGCACACAGAGAAGGTAACTGGTGTCGGGCTTCAGGGGGACTGCGGGGAGCTCCGCCGGGAAGGGGGGCCTCCCTGGGTGTGGAGCCTCTGCCCCTGCCCCAGCTAGAATAGACGCACATGACTGCTCCCTCCCTGACCCCCTCCTCAGTCTGGCCCCACCCTGGCCTTGAGTCTGCTCCCTGCTGGGCACCTGGGGGAGTGATCTGAACACCAGCCAGCTCTGTTCAGCACCCCCTTGTGTGTCTCACCTTGTCTGGGGCAACAGCCAAGGCCGTCCTCACGGCCCCGCAGCCTGCCAGCCCCCCAAGCAGTCCCTGTGGTTCCCATTCGGTAATGTCCGTACCTGTGGGTCCCAGACACAGTGATAGGAACAGATTGCCTGCCCTCGTGGAACTTTTGTAAGGGAGGCCGGGGGACGCAAATCCAGTGAACCTTTCCGTCGCGTTCCTACCACAGGCCCTTTGCATGTGCACTTCTGTCTTCATGAACCAGACCTTCAGGTCTCTGTTCTGATCTCACCTCTTCAGAAGCCTTCCTCCCCCTCTGCTCCCTCTGAGAGAAGGGCCTCCTCGCTCAGCTCTGTCTCCGATGCCCATGTTCTCTCTCTGCACCGTCCAGCACACAAACCGCCAGCTGTATGTGGCTTACGGAGCCCTTAGACTGTGGCTGGTGTCACTGAGGAACTCGGTTACTCATTTTATTTTTTTAAATTTTTTATTTTAATTTTATTTATTTATTTATTTATTTATTTATTTATTTATTTATTTATTTATTTATTTATTTAAAAGATTTACTTATTCATTTATGATAGACGTAGAGAGGCAGAGACACAGGAGGAGGGAGAAGCAGGCTCCATGCCGGGAGCCCAACGTGGGACTTGATCCTGGGACTCCAGGATCGTGCCCTGGGCCAAAGGCAGGCGCTAAACCGCTGAGCCTCCCAGGGATCCCCTAATTTTTATTTTTTAAATATATTTATTTATTCACAAGAGACACAGAGAGAGGCAGAAACACAGGCAGAGGGAAAAGCAGGCTCCCTGCAGGGAGCCCAATGTGGGACTCGATCCTGGGAACCTGGGATCATGACCTGAGCCAAAGGCAGATGCTCAACCACTGAGCCATCCAGGTGCCCCTCGGTTACCAATTTTAAACATAAATAGCCTCACGTGGCCGGCGGCCAGCCTTGCCCTAGCACACCACGACACAGTCACATAGTACAATGAGCTCATTTAAGCCTGTGACTCAATGGTTCTAGTATATTCATGTTGTGTAACCACCACCACCCCTTTTAGAACATTTCGTCACCCCAGAAGAAACCCCACATCCCTTAGCTATTAATCTCCTTCTTGCCGAACGCTCCTGGCAACCACTCATCTACTTACCATCCGTGGACAAGCCCGTCCTGGACGTGTCACCCATGTGGATTCATCCCGTGGGGCCTCCTGTGTCTGGTTCCCTTCCCAAGGGTCATGGGCTCGGGGTCCGGCCCCGGGGTGGTGCGAGTGGGCGTCTCGCTCCTGCTCACGGCCGAGGGACATGCCCACGCATCGGGGACACACTATATGTGGCCGTTCATCTGTTGGTGGACATTTAGCTTGTTTCCACTTCTTGGCTTTTATAATACTGCTGTGGACATTTGTGTACCAGATACATTAGTTTGTTTGTTTGTTTTTTTACAACATAAAATTTGTCATCTTTAACCATTTTGAGCACACAGCTCAGGGCACGAAGCACTCTCACCCCGCCGTGCACCTCCACCATCTGTCTCCAGAACCTTCCATCTCCCCACACGGAGGCCCCGTCCCCAGGAAGCACTGACCTCCACCCCCCTCCCCACCCCTGGCTCCCACCACCTCCTCTGTCTCTGTGGACAGGCCTCCTCTGGGGACCTCCTGGGAGTGGGGTCCTGCAGGAGGTGTCCTTCTGGGCCTGGGTCCCCTCTCTGAGCCCGGTGTCCTCAGGGTCTGTCTGCGTGGGGGCAGGTGTCAGGGCCCCTTCCTTCCTGGGGCTGGACAATATCCCAGTGCGAGGATGGACCGTGTTTCTGCTTGCATCTGTCAGTGGTTGCTTCACCTCTTGGGGTCTGTGAATCATGCTGCCCTGAGTGTGTGTCCCTGTTGTATTAGCTTGTGAGGCTCCACGCCATCTGAAGGGCTCTTAGCTGCCTACTTGTCTTCCCAAGGGGGTGAGGGCACAGACTGCTTTCTTGCCCTGTCTAGTGCCCATCGTACAGCCTGGCACATGGTAGATGCCCAGGCTTCACTTAGGCCTTGTGGGACAGATGGCCACGCTCAGGTGCGCCTCTTCATGTCCGGGCTTGGCTCACCAGAACTCAGTGATCCCCGGGGTGGGGGCAGGAGGGCAGGCCCAGGGCTGCTCCAGTTAGTTCCCTCCCGCTCTGCCCTGAGGCCCCCTCGCCGTTGGGCACCTGCTGCCGGGCCACAGTCCCCGAGGCAGGGCCCACCCCGCGCCCGCGGAACTCCACGCGGCTAGGGAGCACTGTGTCACTGGCAGAGGCCACTAGCAGGTGGGGCGTTGAAGGTGGAAGCTGCCCGGTTTGCAGGAGGATGGAGGAGCCCCGTCCTTGGGCCCGGGGCTGACCTGCTGGTGCCACCCGGGGCCAACATTCCTTCTGTTTATAGAAGGGATGAGCTCGGGGTGACGTTCTGCAAGGTCATCCAGCAGAGCTGCTCCCAGCTCAGAGGCGCTAGCGCTCTCTGGACTCCAGGCCCCGGGATGTCACCCCACACATGCACACCCCAGGCTTGCCCCAGGAAGAGGCAGCGTGTCCCCGTTCTATGAACCACGGTGTGGTCACAGCTGGGCCAGTGTGAGCTAGGTGACAGCCCTGGGGGAGGGGGGTTATCTCTTCACGCCCCCAAAGGAGCTAATTCCCACGGACACCAGCAGTCTAGATGTTCAGAGTTAGAAGGGTCGAGACGGGGCTGGTTTTTGACTTTCCGGAGAGCTCTGTGCATAGAGATCGGCTCAGAGGCTGAGCCTCAAGAAGGACAGGTGTCGGCCCATGAACGCCCAACATGTGCTGGCGCTGCCTCTCTTCTGGGATCCCGCGACAAAACTGTCCCAAGGGTCCCCACGCCCGGCCCTGCACCGTCTGTGCCGAATACAGTCACTGGGGCGTGGACACGCACGCTCCTTACGGCATCGGTGGCCACATCTACAGGGGGCAGAGTGAAGTGGCTGAGACCTGGGGACACCGGCCTGCAAAGCTAAACTATTTACCACGCGGCCCTCTGGCAGAGAAAGCTACCAACCCCGTAGCTGTCCCACCAATCCGGGTTAGAGGTGCTTGAGTCAAAGTCCCAGGTTAAAAAATCCAGGCTCTGGACACGCTGCCTGCCTCCTGGACTCGGTTTCTCCTGTGTGGAAAGGATATGCTCCCTCCTCTTGGGGGTTTGGAGGGCGGAAGCCCCGTCATCCGAGGGCTGAGAACCTGACGTACCTGACTCGTCGTTAGTTTTTTTTTTTTTTTTTTGATGCTTTAATACAAGCTTCATGAATAAACCCACAACTGCTGGGATGTTTTGGGCGTGACCCCCCGTTTGCCGTGGGGAGATTAAGGCGGGAACCGTGTTCCGTCGTGAGTTCATGGAGACGGTGTCTAGACACCTGGGTGCATCCTTCGTGTTGCCCTAGTTTTGCTCCGGGCGCCTCTAGGTCAGGGTCTCCCCTCTTGGCACCCCTGACATTAGGGCTGGGCGTTCCCGAGGGGAGGAGAGGCCCCGGCCCCCCACCCACTGCATGTCAGGAGCCCCCCCCCCGGCGTGACACCCACGTGTGTCCCCAGACAGTGCCCAGCATCCCCTGGGGATGGGGTCACCCGAGGTGAGAACCACTGTTCTAAGCCATCGTAGCCGTCTGCTCGGGGCTACTGTAACCAAGTGCCACAGCGGGGATGGCCTAGCCCAGAACTTACTATCTCAGTTCCTCCCCGGGGCGCCTCTCCACTTGCAGACGCTGTCCTCACATGGCCTCCCCTCTGTGTCCTAATATCTTCCTTAAAGACCTTCTCTCCAAATAGTCTCATTCTGAGGTCCCGGGGATCCGGGTTCAGCACCCTGTGGCCCCTGACGCTGTAGATAAAGAAATGGAAGCACAGAGAGGTACAGTGAGTTGCCTGAGGCCACACAGCCAGGACATAACAAACCAGGATTCAAACCAGGCTCCAGGGCACGAGGTCTCCACCGCCAGACTCAACGTTGACCCTCCGGGGTGACCCAGGAGCTGGAATGCCTCCCTGGAGGTTGGGGTGCAGGGGTGGGGGTCCCCAGGTACAAGGGGAGGACAAAGATGCCGATGCTGGGCTGTGTTGTAGGTGCTGGCCGATACCAAGGAGCTCGTCTCGTCCAAGGTGTCGGGGGCCCGAGAAGCCGTGTCCAGCACGGTGTCCAGCGCCAAGGACACAGTTGCCAGTCGAGTGACGGAGGCGGTTGACGTGACGCGGGGCGCCGTGCAGACTGGCGTGGACGCAACCAAGTCCGTGGTGACCAGCGGCGTCCAGTCGGTCATGGGCTCCCGCGTGGGCCAGATGGTGCTGAGCGGGGTGGACGCGGTGCTGGGCAAGTCGGAGGAGTGGGTGGATAACCACCTGCCCATGACGGACGCTGAGCTGGGTGAGTGCAGCCCTTGGGCCCGGACACCCCCCTCCACCCCTGGCCCAGACCTCCCACCCCTCTCTGCCACCTAGAGCTGTCACTCAGAGCCATCTCGCCCCTGCCACCCCGTCAGCGCCCACCTGGCCCCCAGTGTCTGGTCTCCTTGAAGCAGCCACTAGAGGGCCCCTGTGACCACCAAGTCAGGTTCTGTCCTCTGCCCACAGCCCTTGGGGACTCCCAGCTCCCTCAGGGAGAACTCCAAGCCCTTCCCCGTGGGCCCCCCTCGTACTTATCCATCTCCCCTTGTTCATCCTACTCCAGCCGCACTGACTCCTTGCTGATCCTCAGCCATGCTCCCACCCCAGGGCCTTTGCACCAGCCGTTCCCTCTCCCAGGACCATTCTTCCCCTAGACATCCAGAAGGCTCACTCCTTTCTGCTGCCAGCTCTGTGCTCACATGCCACCTCCCCAGTGAAGCCTCTGAGATTGCAACCTCCCTCGTCCATGCTGCATCCTGACACCTGCCTCCCAAAGTCTTGTCTGTCATCAACCCCCACCCCCCGGGTGCATAGTTGTCCATCCGGATGTGCCTTGAGCACCTGCCGTGCGCCAGTCTTCCAAGTGCTGGGGGTACATTGGTGCACAGAAGCCTGCACTCACGGAGCTCACGGGATAAGGAGATAAACCTAAAGGAGAGAATTCGGGGGGGGGGATTGGCTAGATGTTTCTGAGGAGGTGACAAGACGGTGAATGGAGCGAGCCAGCCAGCTGCGGGGATCAGCGCAGAGAAGTGTCAATAACCAAGGTCCTGGGGCAGGATTTGGCTGGTGGGTTACAGGAAGGCCAGGCAGAGTGGGCGAGGAGGGAGATGCGAACGAGAGGAGGGTGGGGACGGGAGACCAGGCAGGTTCTGCGGGGTTTAGGGGGATCCAGGGGAGGACTTGGACTTAGCCGGGAGAGGTGGGAGCCCTGGAGGGCAGGCAGGCAGGGGAAGGCGGGAGCTGACTCGGGTGCTCACGGCGCCCTCTGGGGGCCACTGCGGGGAGGACAGGTGATGGGGGGATGCGGTTGGCGGGGGTGGGGGGTGGGGCTGAGCATCGCCCGGGCCTGGCCCCTTGGTGCCGCAGGCACAGATGGCCCCAGACACCGCCCAGTGTCCCCTGGGGGTTGGGGGCAGACCCCCTCCGAGGTGAGACCCTGTTTCCATTCTGGGACTTCACGCACAGGGAATCGTGTGCCGCCTCCATCGTCTGGGATCAGGATTGCAAAACGTGTCCGTCCTAAGCATCGCTCCTTCCTCCGTCAGCTCGGAGAACGTTCTCTGTTGCAGCTTGTGGAAGAAGAGGGCACCCGGCTAAGTTTCTCCCTTGACTGGCTCGCGGGCTGGCTCATCAGCCTCCACGGCCAGCAGTGGGTTTTTTTTTTTTTTTTTAATATTTTTTTTTGTTTTATTTATTTATGATAGGCACACAGTGAGAGAGAGAGAGGCAGAGACACAGGCAGAGGGAGAAGCAGGCTCCATGCACCGGGAGCCCGACGTGGGATTCGATCCCGGGTCTCCAGGATCGCGCCCTGGGCCAAAGGCAGGCGCCAAACCGCTGCGCCACCCAGGGATCCCCAGCAGTGGGTTTTTACGTTCTAGGTGTGAATGCGGAGGTTTACACGCCACAGGCCAGTCCCAGAGGCTGACTTTTATCGGGGTCACCCTTGTCCCGTTACTTCTGGCCACTTGGAGGCGTCTTCGCCTTGGCTCTGAGTCTCCGTGATCCAACCCGGGAACCCGCATGGAAAGGAGGGGGGCGGTCCTTTGCTTCCCGGACAAACTCGATGTTTTTGGCGGGCTGGCGATCGCAGGCCCTGAGGCATGTGGCTTGAACCCAGTGTGTCACTTGTGCTTTGAGCGTCCAAAACCCAACTGTGAACCTCTTGAAGGCGGGGAGCCTCCGGCCCGTGGTAGGTGCTGAAGCTGGGTCCAATCGGCTGTGGGTCTTGGCCCCTGAAGGCAGCGGGACAAGCAGGGTCTGTGGGGAAAGGGGTCTTGAGCTCGGCCGGGGCGGGGGGCCGCCGCAGGGAACAGACCCGTGTGACCAGCTTTGCTTCTCTGTCCTCCCTCTGGATCCCCCACTAAGGAGGACATCGCTGTGGGTGCTGGTGCCCGTGGCGCGGAGGGGTGGTCTGCAGGAGAGGGTACGTGCTTTCACAGCAGCGTGGCAGGACTGGGCGTGTGTTCGGGGGCTTGGCCCAGGGGGACAGCCCTCTTCCCTCTCTCTCGGGGTCCTCCCCTTGGCCAGGGGCACCTGCCTGCTTGCTTGGATGTGCCAGGAGTCTGCGTGACGTCCTGGCCTAATAACAAAGCTGCTTGCACTTCCGAGGGCAGAGCCCCAGGTCCCCGGAGGGCCACGGAAAAGCCCTGGGCCACGGGCAGGGCAGATTCACGGTGTCACTCATTTGGGTTCATTTCCACAGACCCGCCTTGAGTAGGAGAATGGGAAAAATCTCTCCTTCTCGAAGAGCAGTCTTATTTTCTCTGCCTTTAAGTGTCCCACGTGTGTGTGTGTGTGTGTAGTTTGTTTTTTTCCATTTTTTCCAAAGAATTTATTTGGCAGAGAGAGTGAATATAGGCAGGAGGAGCAGCAGAGGGAGAGAGAAACAGACTCCCCGCTAGGCAGGGAGCCCGACATGGGGCCGGATCCCAGGACCCTGGGATCATGACCTGAGCCAAAGGCAGATGCTCAACCATTAAGCCACCCAGGCGTCCCTGTAGTTTGATGTTTATTCATTTAATTTATTTTTTTAAAGATTTATTTTTATTTTATGATAGGCAGAGGGAGAAGCAGGCTCCATGCCAGGAGCCCGATGCGGGACTCAATCCCGGGACTCCAGGATCGCACCCTGGGCCAAAGGCAGGCGCCAAACTGCTGCGCCACCCAGGGAATCCCTGTTTTTCCAGATTTTTTAGTGTTTACAGAGACCACTGAAATCCCCTGATTGAAGGCTTACCTTGGTTGAGCAGCAGGTCAAGGACTAAACGCTCATTTGCGTGCCTTTTTGAGTACAAGCTGGCCCACCTTTCACAATTCAGGCAGCTGTGATGGGGCGGCGGGGGGGGGGGTCATACGGAAGGGGAAACTGAGGCTTGCCGGCAGAATCACATTTGTGTAGAGCAGGGAATGGCAAACATCTTCCTAACCAGTTGGTAAATATTTCTGGCTTTTGGGGGGGGGTGTCAGTGCCTGTTGCCACTAGTTACACTGTCAACACAGAAGCAACACAGCAGGAGATAAGCAGAGGAACGGGTGTGACCTTGTGCCAATAAAATTTTATTTATAAAGACAGGGGGCATTGGGCCTGGGGGCCAAAGTTCGCAAGCCCCTGCTAGAGGGCATTACCAAGCCGGTGAGTTAGCAGCTCATCAGGACGGGCCGTTTCCATCCTGCCGTCTTCTAACCTCAAGGGCTCTCTCTGGACTAGATATTCCCGACGTTGCCTTACGCGCTGGCAAGACGGTTCTCATGTGGCTCAGACTTGTCCCCCCGTCAGGTATCGTGGTTCAGAACATGGTGACAGACCGCCTGGCTTCAAATCCTGACTTGCCACTGCCTAGCTGTGTGGCCTCGGGCAAGTCACTTCACTGTGAGCCCGTTTTCTCGTCTGTAAAAACGGGGCTAACGGTGCCTCCCTCGCGGAGTTGTTGGGATTTGATGACTGCGCAGGAAGCACCTAGAACTTTGTAAGAGAGTAGCCGTGCCGTGGAGGTGCTGGGCACTGGTACAGGATCCCCCAGCATTTTTTTTTTTTCCTGCAAAGGAGCAAAGAGTGAACACTTTTGTCTCCACCGGCCAGAGGGCCACAGACCCCGTCACTGTAGTCTGAGGGCAGCCATCCACGTAGCTCACCCACGCGCAGGGGGTGTGGAGGCCTGGTGCAAAGCTGGAAGCAGGGGGGCGTGAGCCACGGTTTGCACACCCTCACGCTAGTCCTCTTAATCCCGGGACGTTGGGTTTCCATCATGCCCATTTTGCAGATGGGGAAAGCGAGGCAGGGGAGCCTGCCCTCCGCGCCAGGGCCTCCCGGCTTGTGAGCAGCTGCCCCCAGGACGGGGACCCGGGCAGTGTGCAAGGCCAGGGCCCCTCACGGCACCTTCCTCCCCGCAGCCCGCCTCGCCACGTCCCTGGAGGGCTTCGACATGGCCTCGGTGCAGCAGCAGCGGCAGGAGCAGAGTTACTTCGTGCGCCTGGGCTCGCTGTCGGAGCGGCTGCGCCAACGGGCCTTCGCCCACTCGCTGGGCAAACTGCAGCTGACGCGCCAGCGGGCGCAGGAGTCCCTGGGCCAGCTGGCGCAGGCGCTCAGCCTGGTGAGGCTCCGCAGGGCCCCGGCCCCCCTCCCCACCCCCCATGGCTCCTCTTTCCCGTGGTCCTGGGTGGCTTGTGGCGGGGGGGGGGGGGGGGGAGGCGCTGCCTTAATGTGCCCCCGGGACCAGCACGCCTCAATGACCAGAGTCTGCCAGGCCCAGAGGGGGGGTCCAAGGTCAGGGTGTCCGCAGGGCTGGGGCCTCTCCTGGACGTGCAGACGGCCGTGTCCTCTGCCCGCTTGTCCTCTCCTAGGGACGCCAGTCACCATAGGAGCAGGGCCACCGCAATGACCTCATTGCGACTTGATGGTGTCTTTAGAGACCCGATCTGCAAGCACAGGCACGCTCTGGGGTCCGAGGGGGTCAGGTCTCCAGCATATGATCGGGCGAGGGGGGGTCATAATTCAGCCCACGCCAGGCTGCCCGGCGGAGGCTCTCCTGGGGGGACCTCCGGGCGGCAGGAGCCCGACCTGCAAAGCCCGAGCAGGTGTTTGATGGTTTCGTTGAAAGTCTCACGGAGGCATAATTCAGGTACAACAAGAAGTCCCCCTTTTTTAAGCGTACGGTTAGAGGAGTTTTACAAACACAAATAGGTCACCACCACCGCAGTCACAGTCAAGACGCGGAACATTTCCATCACCCCAGCAGGGCCCACCTGCCTGTCTGCAGGCATATCCTGCCCTCCTCGCCGCGGTGCTCTTTCTGTCTCTCCTCCAAGGAGCTAAATTCCTTTTACCTTCCTCTTTGCTTTGCTCCATCCGCGAAGTGCTCCCTCTTTTCTCTTTCTCTTTTTAAATTTTTAATTGTGGGAAAATACATCATGAAATTCACCATCATAAGTAACCATTTTTAACTGCACAGCTCAGGGCACAAAGCACCTACCATCACGAGCCATCTCCAGAACCTTCCATTTCCCCACCCCTGGCTCCCACCACCTCCTCTCTGTCTCTTTGGACGGGCCTCCTCTGGGGACCCTCCTGGGAGTGGGGTCCTGCAGGAGGTGTCCTTCTGGGTCTGGGTCCCCTCCCTGAGCCCGGTGTCCTCGGGGTCCGTCCACATGGTGGCAGGTGGCAGGGTCCCTTCCTTTTTATGGCTGGATAACATTCCACTGGAGCACTTTTTACGACCCAGCTTGAGTTCCATCTGGTTACATCCCGTTGGCCAAAGCCAGCCCTGTGGACAGGCCCAGTTGCAAGAGAGAGACAAAACGCGAGGAGCTGCCGAGAATTGTGGCCACTTCCTTTTTGAGTAGCACAGGGCACAGGCACATGTTGGTGACGAAACCGTAACCGTGGAAAGGCTGTGTGAGAACAGCGTCCCTCCTGGCTTCCTCCCCTTCGTGGACCATCTCATCTGGGACGAATGGAGGACTTTGGGGGCCTCTCCTGGGATGGGTGCCGGGCTCTGCCGACCTTGGTCAGATGCTGGAGGCAGCCTCTCTCCTCCTGTGTCTCTCTCACTCTCTCTCTCTTTCACTCCTTAACTCCGCTCCAGATGGAAACCGTCAAGCAGGGAGTTGATCAGAAGCTGGTGGAGGGTCAGGAGAGACTACACCAGATGTGGCTCAACTGGAACCAGAAGCAGCTCCAGGGCACGGAGCAGACCCCGGCCAAACCAGAGGTACCAGCTTGGGGGGACACGCGGGGTGCTTGGGGCCCTGACATGCCTCTCCATGCCTCTCTGCCTGATGGACCTACCTGCCCGGAATACTTTCCCCAGCCTCTCCTTCTCTTAACTGCCTTCCGGACACAGCAGCACCTCCTCCAGGAAGCCCGCCTTGATGTCCTCTCTTGGGTGTGGGTGTTGCCTCTAGACTGTGGGACACTTGATTGTGCTGCCTCTCAACCTGCTCAAATTCTAAGCCACATCTCATCCACCTTTTCCTCCATCCCAGCATCATGGAGGCCTTCATACTCCCCTGCCTGACTCCTGGGGACAATTCCTCCCCAGCATCCTCTGGTCCCTCGCATCTGTCCCAGGCACTGGTCTCCTGTTCTGCTCTGAGTTTGCACCGCCTGTACCTTCACTCACGGAGGCCTTCCTTGAATCAGCACCTTCCGTGGCTCTCACGCCCCATCACGAACGCCCCTCGGCCTCAGGGATGACCTAGCGCTCACTACACCTTCTCCGCTTCACCTCTCTGGGCCTTGGCTTCCCCGTCTGCAAATGGGTTGTAGGGCCTCCTGCAGGGCTCTTGGGGTGAAGCAAACCAAACCCACACACCGTGTTCCCAGCAGCAGGACTCACAATTGCCAGAACATAGAGACGGTCCAGGTGTCCCTTGGTGGATGAACGGATCCACACAACAGGTTCACATCCACACACGGGCACGTCCCTCGGCCCCGCAAACACGGAACCAGGCACAGGAGGCCCCACAGCGTGTGAGTCCACGTGTGTGACATGGCCAGGAAGGGGAGGGGGCTCGTGGGGACCGGGAGAGGGGGTCAGGGCTGACTGCTTAATGGGAATGAGGTTTCTTTGGGGGACGATGGAATGTTCTGGAGACAGAGGTGGTGGTGCACAACCTTGCAAATATACTAAAAACTCTGGAATTGCACACTTAAAAGGGTGAACTTCCCAGCCCGTGTCATACACACATACATAGAAATGAGTAGCTTTGTAAAGCACACGGTGAGTGCTGCAAAAGTGATAGTTATGGAGATGTCCCGATATCCCTTAACGCAAAACTATTAGCATTCAAACCCAAACCACCTAACACCGTCTCCCTTGCCCCCACTGCTCCGCGTGGCACCCAGAAGATGCAGATGTCGACTGTGCTCAGCACCTCCCTGCCAGGCTCGCGTCCAGGCTGCTCGCTGTTGCAGGGTCAGGGCAAAGTCCCACCACCAGCCTGCTCTCTCCCCCTAGTCGGGGAGGGACGGTAAGGTCCCTATTTGCACATCCACCCTGTGGTCTCCCCCACCATTTACAGCTTCTGCCTGGAAAGTTTTTCCAAGCCTCTTTAAAAAACAAAAAAAAAAAAAATTAAGTGGTGTGGAGATAGAAAATTCAGTATCTTACACCTAAAAAAAAAAAAAGTTTTATTTTTTTTTAAGATTTTCTTATTCATGAGAGACACACAGAGAGAGAGAGGCAGAGACACAGGCAGAGGGAGAAGTAGCCTCCCTGCAGGGAGCCCAATGCGGGACTCGATCCCGGGTCTCCAGGATCACGCCCTGGGCTGAAGGCAGGCGCTAAACTGCTGAGCCACCCGGGGATCCCAAAAAAAGTTTTATTGAGATATAATTTGCATAGTATGCAATTCAGTGGTTTTTATTGTATTCACAGGTTCGTGAGGCGATCACAGGATCCTCTGAGAACATTCCCACCGACCCAGCAGATCTTGTCCCCATCAGTAGTCACTCCCCCTCCTCTCTGGCCCCCACGAGCCCCCTCCCCGTCCGTGGATGAGCCCGTCCTGGACGTGTCACACACATGGACTCACACCCCGTGGGGCCTCCTGTGTCTGATCCCCTCCCCGAGCGTCTGGGCTCGGGGTCTCTCCCCGGGGCAGCACGTGGGGGCGCTTCACCCCCGTTCAAGGCTGAGAGACGTGCCCGGCGTGGGTGGGTGGGTCGTGTTTGTTTATCCGCTTACCAGCTAATGGACATTGGGTTTGTCTCCCGTGGACACCACCTTGGGAACCAGCGTCGTACAGGCGTGCGTTTCCATTTCTCTGGGGTGGATCCCTACAAGGGGAGGTGCTGGCCATATGGAAAGCCTGTAGATTAGCGTTTTGAGGGACCACCAGCAACATACAAGGGTCCCACTTCATTCCCCATTGTCGTAAGCACTCGTCACTCCCTCCTAGATCCTGCTCGCCCCAGCGCGTGTGGAGTGGCACCTCATTGTGGGTCTGCGCCCCGTGTCCCTGGTGGCGGGTGCTTATTGACCATCTGCTTGTCCCCTCTGGAAAAATTTCTCTGCCTCTTTTTTACTCTGGTACATACGCCACACGGCTCAAAGCTCAAAAGAGCCGGTGTCCCAAACCACCACCATGCTGGACGGGCTCTCGTGGGGAAAGGTTTCCTGGAAGGTCGTGTCCGGCTGCCCTGGGAACACACGGTCCTGATGGTCCCCCCCCCGCCCCTTCTTAGCAGGTGGAGACCCAGACGCTCACCATGTTCCGGGACATTGCCCAGCAGCTGCAGAGCACCTACGCCTCACTGGGGTCCAGCATCCAGGGGCTGCCCACCCACGTGAAGGACCAGCTGCAGCAGGCTCGCCACCAGGTGGAGGGCCTCCAAGCCACCTTTTCCGGCATCCATTCCTTCCAGGACCTGTCCAGCACCGTCCTGATGCAGAGCCGGGAGCAGGTGGCCAAGGCCCGAGAGGCCCTCGACCACATGGTTGAGTACGTGGCCCAGAACACACCCATCACGTGGCTGGTGGGCCCCTTCGCCCCGGGAGTCGTCGAGAAAGCCCCAGAAGAGAAGAAATAAGACAGCCAGGAGGAGGCTGGAGGGGAGGGACCTAGCCTCTCCCTGAGGGGCGGCCCGAGCACCAGACCCTTCGCCTCACTTGGAACATGTGTCCCTAACCTTCCCACCCCACCCCACCCCGCTCCACCCTGCCCATCTTAGCTGCCCCCTCGGGGAGCTGCAAACCGACTGTCCATCCCCTCCTCTGCGCTCAGAGGAAGCGTATCCTGAGCATCACCTCCTCAGTCAAGACAGGGAGGGTTCTAGGAAAAGTTTTCTAGGAGGGCCTCAGTGCCCTCAATTTCTTTTTTTTCTTAAACCCAGGGATACATATCCCATCTCTTTTTCTTTATCAAGGGCCCTGGGTATCAGCCTTTAGCTGATGGACTTGGATTTCTCCCGGGGAGGGGGTGGAGGGAGCACCACCCAGGCCCATCCGAGAGCAGGGGGCTCAGCCTGCCTGGCCTCCCGTACCTGCCGAGCTTCCGTATTGCCTTAATAAACTTCACCTGCAGCTAAGTACAGGCGGTGCGGGTGCGGGTGTATATATGTGCGTGTGTGCACTCCCAGGAGCCGAGCGATACTGGGGTCTCCGTGTGGCCTCTGGGGCCCCGTCCCTGCTCTGCTCACAGGAGGGGACCCGGAGTGGGGCTCGGAGTTCTCCGATGGGAGAAGAGCAGGGCCCTTCACGTCCCCCAGAGCCAGGGTCTTGCCCTCTGGGCCGTGTCCTAGGATCCCACAGAAGCAGAAGGCCTGCGCTTTCCCCACACCTTCCTAGGTGTTGGGGGGTGGGAGGGCGGTGTGGCATGTTGCCTCCTGAAAGATGTCCACGTCCCGATCTCCGGGACTTGTGAACGTGTTCCCTCATGTAGCAAAAGGAGCTGTGCAGATGGGGTTCAGTGAGGGAGGTGGAGGTGGGGGTGGGTCCTCGCTGCTCCGGGTGGGCCCTGCCACCATCACGAGGGTCCTCACGAGCTGGGGGTGCAGGGTCGGCCGGAGAGGGTGTGAGGACAGAGGCAGAGGTCAGGACCTGAGGTGGGTGCATCTTCTGCTCACATCAAAGATGGAGAAAGGGACCCCGAGCCTGGAGAAGACGGAGAAGGCAGGGAAACAGGATCCCCCCTGACCCCTGCCCTGAGCATCCAGAAGGATCCAGCCCTGCCTTCACCTTGATTTTAGCCCCAATTAAAACTCATTTCAGGTTTCTGCCCTCCAGAAACGGAAGGTGACAGGTTTGTGGTGTTTTCAGCCCCCGAGTCCGCGTTCATTGTTCCAGCACCCCGGGGAGCTCATCCCGGCCCTGGGGGAGTCCAGGTGGCCCCTGGACAAACCCCCGGCTCAGAGATCCCCACATTTCTGTCCACTTCCCACCACTGGGCTAACATTGAAGAAAACACGGAAACCAAATCCTCTCATTGCGCTGCCTCTGGCCCAGGGCTGCTCACTCACGTCGCCTCGGCTCTGCGGGTTAGGTGTCCCCCCTTTAGGGATGAAGCGTCGGGGGCACGCGGCTGGGCGGGCCTTGCCTCCCTGGGTGCGTCCGAGGTGGCACAGTCCTGCTGCTCCTGTCAAGGGCCGGCGCCCGTGCTCCAGCTTGGGGATGGGGAGCAGGTCCCCTGGCCAGCTCCCTGGTGCCTCGTGAGTGACCCTGGGGAGCCCTCGGGCTCTCGAGCCGTCAGCGTCATCATCCGAGACCAGCTCCCACGTAGATCTGGAGCAAAGATTTTGTAGGACTGCGCGTTTGAAAAACCTGGTGCTTAGGTTATCTTAGGGTCTCCCGCTCTGCACTGCTGGCACTGGGACCCAGTCGCTCTCTGGGGGCCACCTGGGGTGCCGAGCAGGATCTCTGGCCCCACACGCTTGATGTCAACAGCACAAATTGTGTGACCACCACAGGTGTCCTCAGACACGGCCCCCTGGTGAGAACCACCAGGTTAGCTGGCTTCGTCCCAAACACTTACTTTCCTGCCTTTTGGCTTAAACGAGTCAAGGTTCCCCACATGGGCCCCCTAATGTGTCAGGGAGCACATCTCTTTTTGCACCTCCCAACGCTGAGCGGGCACAGGCTGTTGCCGGGAGCCACGCCCTGCTCTGAGCACCTGGCGGATGTTAGCACCAGCCTCCCCTCAACCCTCTGGGGTGGCTGGACTGAGCTTCCCGTGTTGTGGACAGGGAAACTGAGGCAGGTAGATGTCACATAATTTCCTCAAAGTCTCCCGGCCACCAGGGGCCTGACAGGCGGGTCTGGGCTCTTGTCTTCCTGCTGGAGGAACTTAGCGGGTGCGCTCTCCAGTCCCCCGTGGCTCCGTCCGCAGATGGGGTGTATCGGTTAGCTCTTGCTCCCTGACAAGTCAGCACTAACGTCGTGGCCTCAAACACGTTCTCTCCCAATCTCTCATCTAGTGACTTAAAAAAAATAAAAATAAATATTCCTCTCATTAGCTTAGCTGAGCTGAGCTCACTGCAGCAGCGTGTCCAGAAAACACACATGCAAAGGGCCCAGCCTGGCTTGGGGAGATAATAGAGAGCAGAGTATAAGGACACAGGCTCTGCGGGCGACGGGGTGGCTCAGTGGTTGAGTGTCTGCCTTTGGCTCATGTCATGATCCTGGGGTCTCAGGATCGAGTCTCACATCGGGCTCCCTACAGGGAGCCTGCTTCTCCCTCTGCCCACGGCTCTGCCTCTCTCTCTGTGTCTCTCATGAATAAATAAACATTTTAAAAAAGATTTTATTTATTTATGATAGTCACACACACAGAGAGAGAGAGAGAGAGGCAGAGACAGAGGCAGAGGGAGAAGCAGGCTCCATGCACCGGGAGCCCGACGTGGGACTCGATCCCGGGTGTCCAGGATCGCGCCCTGGGCCAAAGGCAGGCGCTAAACCGCTGCACCACCCAGGGATCCCAATAACGAACACTCTCTACGAGCAGTCACTGTTGCAAAATGATTCAGACCAAATGCACAAACCATCACATGCTGCCTAAAGAGCTGTTCGTACACTCGTGTGTGGGCATGGCCGGTGGGATCAGAATGGTTGACATTTCTCTTTATTTAAGTAAGCTCTACCCCCAACAGAGGGCTTGAACTCTTGACCACAAGATCAAGAGTCCCATGCTTTACCAACTGAGCCAGCCAGCTGCCCCAGAATAGTTTACACTTTTAAAGGGTTTTAAAGCAAACAAAAATATGCAACAGGGACCATCTGTGGGCCTCAAAGCCTAAAATATTTACTACCTGGCCCTTTCCGGGGAAAGCTTGCCAACCCCTGCCTGAGACCTTCCTGCTACATCGTCCTGCTTAGACAAGAATATTTCTCCCAGTACTTAAAAGCTGCAGTGTGTTTTGCTGCAGTAACTGCAAACATCATTGAGTCGCGCTCATGATCCTAGGGCTGAGGGTGTGGGCACAACTCCAGCAGAGGGTGACAGTGGCGGTTTTGGGGGACAGGAAAGCAAATGTTTGGTGCTGGAGAAATGGGATGGACCAGTACAATGTCTGTCCCCAACCAAGACATGGATGTGGGAAGGGGATTTGGGGTCTCCCTCCAGCCCCACCAGAGAACACTTTCTTATCAGCAAAGTCAGATCATGGCACTTTTTCCCAGGAACAGAGGCTTACAAACCTTTACTTAAAAACAACCTGGGAGGGACCCCTGGGTGGCTCAGTGGCTGAGTGACTTCCTTCAGCTCAGGGCATGATCCCGGGGTCGTGGGATTGAGTCCTACATCAGGCTCCTCTCAGGGAGCCTGTTTCTCCCTCTGCCTGTGTCTCTGCCTCCCTCCCTGTGTCTCTCATGAATAAATAAATAAAATCTTTTAAAAAAATAAAAAGAAAAACAACCTGGGACACCATCCCTGTTTTAGTACTTTTATTCTTGAGCTCAGATGTCCGCACAAAGGACCTCAAATGTTCACAGTTGCTTTATTCTTTTTTTTAAAAGATTTTATTTATTTATTCATAGACACAGAGAGAGAGGCAGAGACACAGGCAGAGGGAGAAGCAGGCTCCATGCAGGGAGCCTGATGTGGAACTCGATCCTGGGTCTCCAGGATCACACCCCAGGCTGCAGACGGCGCCAAACTGCTGTGCCACCGGCGCTGCCCAGTTACTTTATTCTTAATAGCCCCAAATCCAAAAGACAGTAGATGAATAAATTGGGGGAGACTCACATGGTGGAATATTATGCAGCAGAGAACATGAATAAATTACTGATATTCACAGTACGAAAATTCATCAAGAGGTGCCTAACTGGCTCAGTCAGTGGAACTGGGGCCTTTTGATTTCGAGGGTCATGAGTTCAAGCCCCACATTAGGCGTGGAGCCTACTTTAAATAAATCAATCAAAAAAATTTTTAAGAAATCAAGAAATACAGATCCCTGGGTGGCTTAGGGTTTGGTGCCTGCTTTCCGCCCAGGGAGTGATCCTCGAGTCCCAGGATCGAGTCCCACATCAGGCTCCCTTCATGGAGCCTGCTTCTCCCTCTGCCTGTGTCTCTGCCTCTCTCACTCTCTCTGTGTCTGTCATGAATAAATAAATAAAATCTTTAAAAAAAGACAAATCAAGAAATACTTTTTTTTTCAAAAAGACCTTAAAAAAAGAAATTAACAGAGAAACTTCATTTAGAATAGAGTCAGGAAGCCCAGAAAGGAGGAGCTCTCACACCTGAACTTTGGGCAGGAACAAGCCTACTTTACTACCCCAGCAGGTAGAAGGTTTTCTCCTGCCCAGCAACAGCCCAGCCAGCCAACGAGAAACCACCACTACTCAGCCAATGAGAAGCCGCCCTCGCCCTGGGCTCTCCCTCTCCTCCAGTGGATTTGCTTCAAAGCAGCCCCTCCCTCCTTCTCCCCTTTATTCTCTGGACTTGGCTATGATTTACCAGGTCCTGCCATCCCAAATTGCAATTCCTCTGCTATTCCTGGAAAAGCTCATTTTGCTGGTAAAATAACTAGCTGTTTCATTAAAAAAATTATTTATTTATTTGACAGAAAGTGAGAGCACAAGCAGGGGGAACAGGAGAGGGAGAAGCAGGCTCCCCACTGAGCAGAGAGCTCCTTAGGAGGCTCCATCCCAGGACCCAGGGACCATGACCTGAGCCAAGGCAGACATTTAACCCACTGAGCCCCCCAGGCGCCCCTTGGCTGTTTCATTTTTAAGGTCCAGGCCAACATTATGGGTGAAACTCACAGGCACCAAATTGAGAGGAAAAAAAAAAAAATAAACCAGGCACAAGAGAACCCATACTCTGATTCCACATCAGTTACAAGCTCAACTATGGTGAGAGAAATCCAAAGAGCATTACCCACGGGGCTCGGGGCATTCCAGGGGCTGGAAATGATGTGTGCAAGTCTCAGTCTGCATGTTGCACAGGGAGTGTGTTGGCATGCACAAGTCTGCTGAGCTGTCCGTTGAAGATTTACACTCTTTAGGGCCTATGATTTATCCTTCGATACAAATTAAGAAAGAGAAAGTAAGGGACGCCTGGGTGATTCGTGGTTGACTGCTGTGTGACTGCTGTGTGATTCGTGATCTGCTGTTGACTCAGGCCGTGACCCCAGGGTCCTGGGATCGAGTCCCACATCGGGCTCCCTCTGCCTGCGTCTCTGCCTCTCTCTCTCTTTCTCATGAGTAAATAAATAAAATCTTAAAGAAAGAAAGTAACATGCAGAAGGGTTGGGGGAAATGAGCCCTTTTGCTCACTTCCGGTGGGAGTGAAAGCAGGGAGCGCTAATTTGGAGAACAGCGGGGCAGTATTTAGTAAGAGCGAGAATGTACATTCTCCGTGTCTGAGAAGAATTCTGAGAAGTTCCTCTTCTCCACGGCCACCCTAGAGAAATGCTGTCCACTGAGTCACCTAAGTCTCTCATCGGCCCCACGAGGCAGGCGCTATTATCATCCAAGGGGGGGGGGGAACTGAGCACGATTCAGAGGACTCACCCTCGGCCCCATGTCACAGCTACTAAGCATCAAAGTAAGGATTTGAACCCAGCACTCCCACATCACCTGCCCCCTGTTCTCCAGCACCACCGTAGGAGGTAGTGATGCCTGGTTCGCGGGGAACAGTGGCAGCAAGCGGCGTGTCCAGTGACTGGGGACTCAGGAAGCTGCAACAGAGCCAGGCTGCGTGAGACCATCACACACGGAAAAAGAACATTGTCGGGCTGCATATACCAGCTGCGAAAAACAGCAGACGGTCTGGCCTCGCCGGTAGCACCGATGATATTTAGCGTCTGGCCCTTGGATAGAAAAAAAAGTGGGCAGCCCGGGGGGCCGGGCGGTTTAGCGCCACCTTCAGCCCGAGGTGTGATCCTGGGGTCCCGGGATCAAGTCCCATGTTAGGCTCCCCGCGTGGAGCCTGCTTCTCCCTCTGCCTGTGTCTCTGCCTCGCTCTCTCTCTCTCTCTCTCTCTCTCTCTCTCTCTTTCTCTCAATCTCTGATAAATAAATAAATCTTTAAAAAGAAAAAGTTTGCTAAGTCCCAGCTACAGCGAATTAGAAAGCAAGCCAGACCAAAGAGCAATAACTGTCCCATTCATGGATACGTGTGTATGTGTGCAAATACGTGTGCAAAAGCAAAAAGACAGAAGGAATGAGGATCACGCAGAGGCCCCTGCCCCCCCAACAGAGCAGGGGGAAGAGGAACGGGAGAGGAAAGTGGAGATGGGAGGTGGGCAACGGTACCCGTCTGCTGGTGGTCGGATTTACTCACCTGCAGCTCAGGGTTTTCTCCTGGGAGCCTGGCTGCTCCTGCCATGTTACCTTCTCTGAGCCTCAGTGTTCACACCTATGAAATGGGTACATTCCAGTCCACCCAAGAGGACTATTTTAAGACATGGATCAGATGACCACCAAGAGTGTTTGGGGTGGGGATAGATACCTACTGAAATTCAAAAAAATTGATGGTGGGACAAGGGTGGAGGACCTAAGAGGCATGGGAAGACGGGCATAATGCCCTCTCCCTCTCTAGCTGCCGAGTCCCCAAAGGTAGGGACCACTTCTTTCTTCCTGCCCAGTGGATCCCCAGAGCCTAGGCACGCCTGGCACACAGCAGGTGTTCAAAATCTCTCCCCTACCTGAGACACACACTAAGTGAGGAGCACTAGGTGGGGAGGAATTAGCATTCCTATGACTTTCATTTGATCCCCCTCCCAAGATCCTTTACAACGAACTTCAGCCTGAGGTCCACGGGCCTCTTGGGCACCCGATGACAGAATTCATGAAGTAATGAGAAAAAAAAAATTCCTGTCTTTATTTTCACTGACTGATATTTACCATTTCCCCAATTATGAATGAAGGCAGTGGCAGGACTTGTGACTTTTGTCTCCAATAGAAAACCACAGAAATTTTCATATTTGATTGCATTGCTGCAAACGACTCGAAACACAGCAGGCACCTGTGGCCCTTAGAGCCCGTCAGTCAGAGCCCGAAGCCTCCTGCGTTTTCGTGCAGCTCTTCAAAAGGATTTAAAAAATAAAAATTAAAAAAAACAAACAAAACAAAAAATCCCCCAAAAAACAAAAGGATTTTAAAGCGATTATCTTATGCATATTAAACATAATTTTTTGGGGTGCCTGCCTTCGGCTCAGGGCATGATCCCAGGGTCCTGGGATCGAGTCCCGCATCGGGCTCCCCGCAGGGAGCCTGCTTCTCCCTCTGCCTGTATCCCTGCCTCTCTCTCTCTGTCTCTCATGAATAAATAGATAAAATCAAAAATAAAGATGAATAAAAATAAACACAATTTTTAAAATGTGGCAAAATATACTTACCATGAAACTTACCCCTTAGCCCCTCTTAGGTGCACAGCTCTGCGGCATGAAGCGCACTCATACTGTTTTGCACCACACCCCCATCAGTCTCCAGAACTTTCCATCTCCCCAAACTGAACTTCTGTCCCCATTTAGCACCGACACCCCACCCCCTCCCCCAGCCCCTGGCTCCCACCATCTACTTCCTTTTTCTATAAATTTGACTCCTCTAGAGACTTCCTATGAGTGGAGTCAGACTGGATCATCCTTTCGCATCTGGCTTATTTCACTGAGCATAATGTCCTCAGGGTCCCTCGTGTTGTAGCAAATGTCTAATTTCCTTCCTTTTGAAGGCTGACTAATATTCCCGCATAGGGACCACATTGTGTTTATCCGTTTAGTGATAATGGATCACTGAGTAGTTTTTTTTTTTAAGATTGTATTTATTTATTCATGAGAAAGAGAGAGAGAGAGGCAGGGATACAGGCAGAGGGAGAAGCAGGCTCCATGTGGGGAGCCCGACGCGGGACTCGATCCCAGGACTCCGGGATCATGCCCTGAGCCAAAGGCAGATGCTCAACTGCTGAACCACCAGGCATTCCACTGAGTAGTTTTTCTAAAACACATTTTAATAAATGTTTTTCAGCACAACAGACTTCCCTGTAACCTCTCGTGTTTTGTTTTTCACATCTTTACAAATGGTATTTTTTTTTTTTTACAAATGGTATTTTGAGAAGAGGCTCTGAGCTTCTGCAAACTGACAAAGAAACGTGCTCAGAGGCATTCCGACTTTTGTAGGTCCTTTTGCCCATTAAAATAAAAAAACAAAAATTATATTTACAAGTGTGGTGGTGTAAAGACGCCTATAATCCAGGGTGGACCTGGATTCATTGTTTTCTTTCTGATCCGAAAACAAAACATTGTCACGGGTCCCTAAACATAGGACGGTCCCACACCTTAACTCTGCTCAAGGGACATGTGTGTGCTGGGTCTGGGACCCCCCCAAAAGGTTAGGACCTCCTCTGAACTTTTGCATGTTGTTTTCACAGCTTCAAGATAAGCCATCTTAGGGGACACCTGGGTGACTCAGTGGGTGAGCACCTGCCTAATGCCCAGGGGCTGACCCTGGGGTCCTGGGATCCAGTCCCTCATTGGGCTCCCCGCAGGGCACCTGCTTCTCCCTCTACCTGTGTCTCTGCCTCTCTCTGTGTCTCTCATGAATTAAAAAAAAAAAAGTCTTATAAAAATAAGCCATCTTGGCTGTCCGTCCTCTAGCCACTGGGGATCCCCAAGCCCCTCCATGGTGGCCACGGTTCCCCTTCTTCCCAATTTCAGGTAGCCCTTCCCCCAGTTACCCTACCTCGCCCCCCCTTCCCCGTTCTATTCCGTGGAAAGCATTATCACTAGCTGAGATGATCTCATTTTTAAATTGTGGTGACTGTCCCTGGACTGCGGGCGCCCGGAGGGGGTGGCCCCGTGCCTCTGTGATCCCCCCACCAAACCCTCCCCAGAAGGCACCCCCCTCCGGGGAGGAGGGGCGCGCAGGGCACCGCTGCGGGGCCCCTCGGGGACTTTCCCTGTCCCGGGAGGAAAGTGTGACTTCACCTTCCTGCCTGGCTGCCCGCGGGACGCGGAAGGGGCGGGCGGAGGCCCGGGGTGGAGCTGCCGCGCGCCCTGGGCGCCCCGACCCGCGCCCCGCCACCCGCGGGCAGCCAGGCAGGCCAGGCCGCCCGCGCCGACCGTCGCACCGAGCGGACCCCGGGTAGGTGCAGGGCCGAGCGGGGCCGGGAGGGCGGGTGTGGCCGGGCAGCCCGAGGCCTGCGGCTCCTCCCCAGGTTCGCGACCCGCCGCGCCCCGGATCTCAGATCTCCGCGCCCTGGCGCCCCTAGTTCGCGCCTACCCCCCAGCGCTGCGCTCCCCAGCCAGGTGGCCCCGGTCCGCCCCGAGCTCCTGAATCCATCCCCGCTCCTCGCTCTGGCTCCCCAGCACCCCAGACCTCTCCCCAACACCTTGAATTCCTTCCCGACTCCTCGAAGTCCACCCCACCCTCCCGGATTCCTTCCCAGCCCCCCTCGGGTCCCTCCCCAACACCCCACTTCTTTCCCGACGCCACTGATCTCTCTCCAGCTCCGTGGATTCCTGGGGATTCCTCTCCAGCACCCTCCCCCCCCCCCATTCCTCAAGCGGGCACAGACCCAGGTTTCTGATCTCTCCCCCGACCTGGGGGCCTTCTGCCCCAGCCCCAGGTCTTCCTACCCGGCCAGCGCCCCACCCCCAGTCCCTTCCAGGCCCTGGATCCACTTTTCCCAGGGGCTCCAGGGCCCCCATCCTCGAGATCCTCCAGGCCTCACTCCCCACCCCCTTCCGGCAGTGCAGGTTGGTTGGTACCGGTCTAGGAGCCGATGCCAGGCGGCGGGGTGCTGGCTGCCATCACCACTCAGGCCTCAGACCTGGGTGGCCCCAGGAGATCCTCATGGCAAGGCCCCCACCCCATTTCCTCCCTTTCCCTGTGGATGAAGTAGGAGGTTGGGGAGGGCCTCCCCCAGGATTGGAGGGGGTGGGTTCCAGCCTGGGGTGGGGGTGGGCAGGTGGGTGCAGGGGACTCCTGTCTGGGCCTCTGTTTCCTCTGAATAGGGGCGTGCATTCTCCTTCAGCACACATTTCTGAACCACCTGCTGTATGTGCGGGCATACTGCAGGGGCCACGTAGTGCCCACATAGGGTCCTCGGCCAGGGTGACCGGCAAACACCACGAATGGTCGAGGTGAGGCGTGCCAGATGCAGGCAGCAGATACCCAGCTGCTTCTCTGTTGGCCTGGCTTGAGGACCACGCAGACCCAGGCGTGGGAAGGGGCCGCACTTAGTAGGTGCTCAGTGAATAGGGGTAGGGCCTGGAGCCCGGCTGTCCGCTTTGCTCCTGCGCCTTCACTTTGCTCCTGTGTGACCCAGGGCAAGTGGCTCTACCTGTCTCTGCCTCCTTTTCTCATGTGCAAACAGGCAGCCAAATTAGGCCTAACTTGTAGGGTCGCCATGTGCTTCCCACAGTGCCCATGGCGTAGCAGGTGCTCAGGCAACACTTAGTGAACAAATGCCCCTTTGGTCGCCTGCGTATTTTCCAGGGACAGTCTGGCTACGTCTGGCCCTCCCTGTCTCCTTGTAACATTTCTTAATCAGCCAGAGGGGTCAATTGCACCTCTGTGATGCGCCCGCCCGTCCTGCTGGGAGCAGAGTAGACCTTTTGTCCTGTGGGGCAGAGGATTCAGCGGGAAACGTTTATTGAGCGCTTACTGTGTGCCAGGTGCTGTTCTGTGCACTCATGGGCTGATTGATTCAGTCAGTATGCATTAAGCACCTCCTGCGTGCCTGCCATTACACGCGGCTGTGAACAAGACAAGTGAACGCCCCTATTTTAGTGGTGCTCACTCAGGTGGGAAGTGATGCATAGTCCAACAAAGTAAGTTGGGAAATCTAAAGTGTCAGGTAAGAAGAAGTGGGATGGAGAAAAATAATGCAGGGAGTGTGGGGGGATGGGCTTCAGTTTTGGGCAGGGTGGCCAAGGCTGACCTTGACGAGGAAGTGACATTTGAACTGTTTGATCTGTGGAGCTGGCCATGTGGCTATCTGGGGAAGGGTGTCCTAGGCTGAGGGGACAGCCAGTGCAAAGGTCCTGGGGGCAGGAACAAGAGTGGTGTATTTAAGGAACCATGTGGCAGGATGGGAGGGAGCGAAGGGGAATGGGAGGAGGTGAGGTCAGGGAGGCGGCACGCAGGGGCCCACAGGGAGGACCAATCAATGAGTCATGCCTGAGACAGGACTGATATCTGCCTTCTAATCACAAACCAACTTTTCCACATTTTTTGTCTCAAGCATCGGGACAAAAGCCCAGATGCCCTCCTCGCCTCCTGCTCCTTTCCCCTTCTCCAAACTATCCACAAATCCAACCATCCCCCCCTTACCCGGTCCGGCCCCCCATCATTTGCTTTGCCTGAGAGGGTGGTCACCACCCTGGTCCCACAGTCCATCCTTCCCGAAGCAGTCACCAGAGGGAGCCCCTAGTCTTACCCCACCCTCCTTCCTTCACAGCCCCCTTGGGCTCTCACCTCCCTCAGGGTAAACGCCTAAGTCCTCCCCCTTGCCCCTCTCTCCTCCCTCCCTCACTCTGCTCCAGCCACTTGGGGCGTCCTCATTGTTCCTCTAACACACCAGCCTCTGTCCTACCCCAGGATCTTTGCACATGCTGCTCCTGCTGCCTGCAGCTGTCTTCCCCCAGATTTTTACCTGAGTCGCACCCTCCCCTCCTTCAGGTCTCAGCTCCCATTCACTTCCTCCCAGAGGCTCCCCTGCTCCTCCGTCCTGGGTAGTTCTTTTCCCTGTTCCTCACTACCACGCCCTGCTTCATTTTCTGCATGAACTTCTCATTCTCTGCAGTGGATCGATCTCTCATCCATTATCCCGCCCCCCCAACTGGACCGTGAGCTCTGCAAGGACTGAAGACCTGTGTGTCGTGGGCCACAACAGCACCTGCAACAGCTCTTTGCACATGGTAGGTGCTCCACGAATATTTGCCCAGCGCATGAAGAGACACTGGAGACTGCGAGAGGCGGAGAGGAAGGAGTGGGCGTGAGCCAGATGTGGTTAAAATATTTCATTTATGTTTTTTTAAGATTTTATTTATTTATTTGAGAGAGAGCGGGCGAGAGAACACAAACAGGGGGAGGGGCAGAGAGAGAAGCAGACTCCCCCCTGAGCAGGGAGCCCGAGGCGGGGACTCCATCCCCAGACACCCAGGATCACGACCTGAGCGGAAGGCAGGCGCATCACCGATCGGGCCACCCAGGCGTCCTGGTTAAAATGTTTTAAAAGAGGAAGGGGAAAAAAAATCAGTTTTGCCAAGACTGGTTGATTCTTATGCTTTATTGTGCTGTTGTACTGAGCTCTTGCCGGTGGTGACGGCCACTTTCAGGTTCTGTTCACAAATGACGAACCTGACCTAAGTGGGTTCCACAGGCTGGCAGGGGCAGAGCAAGGCCCCCACCCCGTGGGTGCTTCCATCCCACCAGGTGCCCGCTGTGCAGGGTGCGCAGTGGACTTTGGCCAGGAGGCCCTGGACGGGGGTGCAGAATGCAACCCGGCAGGTGGGGCGGGAGCTGGGCAGGGCAGGCCAGGTGGGTGGGGGACACCTTGGGGGGGCGGGTCCCAGGAGGCGGGCAAAGCTGGTGCAGCCACTGAGTCAGGGCTCAGGCCTGTAGCAGGGGGGAGGTGGAGCCTGGCTGTGTGGCTCTTGGAATTTTCCGGGGGCGGGGGTAGAAATTTTCCGGGAATGCAGGTGCGGTTGGTCCTTGTCTTGCTGCTTCTGAGCCCGGCTGGTCCGTCACTGGGAGTTTGGGGGCTCCGAGCCCTGTGCCTGCTAATGCCCAAGCAGCCTCACAAAGTGCCACGAGCGGCCCTGACAGTTGTACATGTGTGGACCCCTTCAGTCCCTGCCAGCACTGGCAGATAGGGCTTCTCATTGCACCCATTTCAGAGATGAGGACACTTGGGAGCCCGTGTGCCCGTGGCCTGCCCTAGGCCACAGCCTGGAGGTGCTAAAGCTGAGATGGGAACCCCAAGTGCTCCTACCAACCGCTCTCTCTTGCCCAATTTTTAAAGATTTTATTTATTTATTCATGAGAGACACACAGCAGAGAGCAGAGACACAGGCAGAGGGAGAAGCAGGCTCCTCACGGGGGAGCCCCATGTGGGACTCGATCCCCGGACTCCAGGATCACGCCCTGAGCCAAAGGCAGACACTGAACCTGCTGAGCCACCCAGGCGACCCCTTTTTTAAAGATTTGTTGATATAAAACATGAATCCAGAATAGGACGTGCGGTGGAAGTGTTGACATTGATGGGTTCTCAGAGCGAACACGGCGTGAAACGGAACCTGACGTCCAGGCCCACTCGCACCCCCCCCAACCCCGTGCCTTTGATCTGCTAAAAATTGTTGAGCACATGTCAACACATCTGGGGGGGGTTTCTTCTTAGGTTGTATACACAGCTGCTCCCAGGAGTCCCCGGGAAGTGGAAAGAACAGTTGATCTGTGACTTGTTGTTGCCGGGGAGCGGGCGGGGGGCCGGGGGTCTCAGGCCATCCTCCAGGTATCGATCTTTCTAATTTCAGAAAGATCCAACTGACGTTGTGCAAACGTCTACACCTCTGCTGCCCAACAGAAACATAAGGGGCGGCGGCGCCTGTGCCCTTTTACCCTTCGTAGCAGCTCTCTCAGTAAGGGGAACAGCGAAGCCGGAAAAACTCATTCTCTCTGTGCATTTTACGTGCCGTTATCTAGCCAACGTGTAACCAGTAGAAATCCAATTACTCGTGGGCATCTTACCCATCCTTTTTTTTTTTTTTTTTTTTTTGTGCATGCTCATTCTTCAAAATCTGGTGTTTTACCAGATGTCAATTCCCACGCTGTATTTTCAGCAGTTAAAGCGAAATCTGGTCCACCCAGAACAAGACAGTGTTTGACAGGGAGAGGATATTTTGCGCTGCCTCGCCTTACCCATTTCCATTTCGATGAGTTGAAAATGAACACAAGGGACGCCTGGGGGGCTCAGCGGTTGAGCATCTGCCTTCGGCTCAGGGTGTGATCCTGGGATCCAGGAACGAGTCCCACATCGGGCTCCTTGCAGGGAGCCTGCTTCTCCTCCCTCTGCCTGTGTCTCTGCCTCTCTCTCTGTGTCTCTCATGAATAAATAAATAAAATCTTAAAAAAAAAAAAAGACCCTTGAAGGCCAAGAAAAAAAAAAGTTAAAAAAAAAGAAAATGAACACAATTTAACACTCAGCTCCTCCTTTGTAGCAGTGGCTGCATTTTCTTTTTTCCTCTTTTATGCTTTTTATTAAGATTTTATCTATTTATTCATGAGAGAGAGAGAGAGGCAGAGACACAGGCAGACTCCACCCAGGGAGCCCGATGTGGGACTTGATCCCGGGTCTCCAGGATCACGCCCTGGGCCGAAGACAGGCGCTTAATTAAACCGCTGAGCCACCCAGGCTGCCCTGTGGCTGCATTTTCAATGCCGTAAAAAATACAGACAGGGAGGCTTACACACCAGAAATGTATTTTCTCGCGCGTCTGAGAAATCAGTCTGAGCTCAAGCTGTGGGCAGGGTGGGCTCCTCCCCAGGAGTCTCCCATGGGCGTGCAGACCTCACGTCCTCACGGGGTCATCCGTTTGGGAGTCTCTGTGTCCTCACCTCCTCTTTTTTGTTGTTGTTAAGATTTTATTTATTTATTCATGAGAGACACAGAGAGAGAGGCAGAGACTCAGGCAGAGGGAGAAGCAGGCTCCATGCAGGGAGCCCGATGCGGGACTTGATCCCGGAACCCGGGGTCACCCCTGAGCCTAAGACGGACGCCCAACTGCTGAGCCCCCCAGGCGTCACTTTCACCTCCTCTTCTTTCAAGGACACCAGTCACGCTGCATTAGGACCCATCCCAATGACGTCATTTGAACTTAGCATCTCTGTAAAGACTGAGGTCCTGGGCGTTAGGGCACCACGTAGGAGTTCTTCAGGGGGACATGGTTCAGCCAAGAACAGCCTGTGATGCTTCAAAATAATTACATGGGCTGGAGAGAGAGAGAGAGAGAGAGAGAGAGAGAGAGAGAGAGAGGCATTTGGTTGTGTGATCACAAACAGGCGTGCCAAAGAGCTGGGCCCGCTGTGTCGTCTGCAGGACGATTGCTGTTGCTGAGGGGGGAAAAAATCACACGCCTGTTTCTTGTCAAACGTTTCCTGCAAAGGGCCGAGAGCGAGTCTTTTCAGCTCTGCAGGCGCTGTGATCACTGCTGCGGCCCATCCGCTCTGTGTGGGGCCGGGCAGGGGCCACGCAGGGCGGCGTGGGGATGAGTGGGTGTGGCTGCGTGCCGAGAAACTTCGCTTACAGAGCCAGTGACCTCTGCCCAGGGCAGCTCTGCACAGTGTCAGGAGTGTCATTGATCTCTGTCCTAGGCAGTTATGTCTGGTTGCTTGGTCTTCTGTGTGTGTGTGTGGTGTGTGTGTGTGTGTGTGTGTGTGGTGTGTGTTTTAACAAATCTCTACACCCAATGTGGGGCTTGAACTCACGACCCAAAGATCAAGAGTCGCATGCTCTCCCAGCTGAGCCAGTCAGATGCCCCATCATCAAGCCGATCTTAATTTTAAAAAAATATATATCTGCAGGAGGGTAGCAGGTGAGCGTGAGCCTAGCGAAAAAGTGTCGCAGGCCGAGGGAGGAGCCGGTGCAAAGGCCCTGAGGCAGGATCCTGCTCTGCAAGTTTGAAGGACCGCGGGAAGCGCAGTGGCCTGGACCGGGTCCCCAGTTAAGGAGTTCCACCAGGTGACACATAGTCTACGTAGGCACGACCCACTTTGCTGCCCTAGCCCGAATATTTTATATGAACGTATGATCTATAAATACCATGTCCCCCGGCCTGTCAACTCCAAGAGGAAAGCGTCTATTTCTGTTTTCTTCTCTCGGCCCTGGTTTGCTCAGTGGGGCCCAATGCCGGGCCGGCGTGAACATGACTGCTGGTGTGGACGTTTTCCTTCCTCCTTTTTACACACGTCATTATTTATCATGCGATGAATGTGTTTAGGGTTTTCTACTCCACAGATTGCATCTTGGCCCACTTATTTATTTATTTTTTTTAAGCTCACAAGGGCTCTTCAGACTACCCGAGGGCCACCTGGGTGGTGCAGCTGGTTGAGTGTCTGCCTCTTGCTTTTGGCTCCCGTTGTGACCACAGGGTCGCAAGATCGAGCCCCGGGTGCGCTCTGCTTGAGACTCTCCCGCTTGAGACTCTCTGTCCCTCCGCCGCTTGCTCCCTCTCTCTCCGATAAATAAATACATCTTTTAAAAACTATTTGAATTGATCGCCAACTTGGCAGGGGTTAGCAGTTCCCTGAAACTGCATTTCTGGCTCCTCTTGAAGTATCTCGTGGATGTGTGGTCCCTTGGAATGGCGCTTCCTCGTGGCAACACACAGACGTCACAGCCACCACATTTAGGTAGGTCTAAGGTCCCACTTCCCTCCGTGTGAAAGCCCAAGACCTCCCCACGGCCCACACAGCCCTGCAGGACCCGCCCAGTCCCCTCCCTGCCCTCCCCACCTCCCTCTTCCCCCCTCGCTCGCGGAACCCTCTGGGCCTCCTCGCTGCTCCTCCATCACCACGGGCTGGTCCTGCCCCAGGGCCTTTGCACAAGTTGTTGCCTCTGCCTGGGACTCTCTTCCTTCAGATGTCCCTCTGGGTCACATTTGTATGTCCTGGCGGAGTCCCTCTTGTCACTGAGGCCTTCTTGAACCACGTTGTTTAAGACTGTGAACACCCACCCCTGATTCTTGGGTTCTGTGACCCTCCTCGCCTCCTCGTGTTTCCCGGGGGGGCATTTACTCCCTGCCCATGTGGTGCTGTGAATGTCACTCCTTTGTTGGCTGCCTGTCCTCCCCACGAGGAAGTCGGCTGCATTTTGGGGGGGGGGTCTGTGCTACTTCACCCCCCACCCCAAGTCTGCATGTCAGCATCTCAGGCCACTTCTATTTCTGAAACAGCCAGACAGCCATTCGCCTCTTTACATCCTTCCCCCCGGGGGCTGGGCCCTTGGCCCCTTCTCTTCCACTTCTCAAACTTGTGCCCTGTTCCCGGGGCGGCTCGGTCCTGTCCCCCTTGGGCCTCTGCCCCCAGTGCTGGCTCTCCCCATGCTCTCTCTGGCCTGTGTCTGACCTTCCTGGAGTCTTTGACCTTGGTCCTGGTGCCCCAGTGGCCCCACATCTACTCATAATGAATTTTTTTAAAAAATGCTGAATCATGTACGCACTGAGGGCTGTGACTCATGGTCTGAGATCCATGAATCACCTTTTGCCCTAGACCAGGATCGATGTCAGCACTTAGCAACATTTGGGGCTGCATCCTTGTCTGTCCCTGGGGGCGATGGGGTCCTGGGCACTTCGGGGGGAGAGGGAGTGGGCAGCATCCCCAGCCCGTCTACTCGATGCCAGGAGCACCTTTCCCTGCAGACATGATGCCCACATGTGTCCCCAGACGGTGCCGAGGGTCGGTGAGGGGAGGGGACTGGCGGTCAGAGCTGTTCTCGGCTGAGCAGCACTAGTCTGCAACCTAGGGGTGTCACCGTGGGCACTAGGGTGGACCAGACACAGGCCCGAGGCCCGCGGAATGGCATATAAAGTTCTGTCTCCCGGAATGGATCTGAAGTGCGTTTTGTTTTGTGTTTTCTAAGTCTGACTGTGACGCGCTTAGGGAATCTGGTGACCTCAGCTATGGGATTTGGGTTACCCTCTCTGGCTTCCCATCGTGTGCCCTTGGGAAAGCCTTTCTTCCCGTGCCTTGTTTTTCCATCCGCAATGTGGGGGGGTTATGCGTTCTGGCCTCCTTCATTCATTCCACAAGGTCAGGTCCCCGCTCTGCAGTTCAGCCACCGGGGACGCCAGGAGAGGCTCAGCCCCACCCTCTGGTGCCCGCTGGGCAGGAGGCAGCTGGCAAACGCGAAAAGTCTGAAGACACAAGCAAAGTTCACCCAGTGACACACGGGGCGGGTGGGGGTCGCGGGGAACCAGGTGACGTGGGGGAGGCAGACCGGGAGGGACGGCGTGGATGGCCAGGGCCCCGAGACGCTGCCGTCGGCCCGAGAGCCGAAATGATGAGACTAGCATCTGTGTGGCAAAGGTCTGCGGAGGGAGCACCCCAAGCAGAGGGAGGGGCGCCCGCGGGAAACCTGACATAGGAAGCAGCTTGGGAGTTTTTGAGAAATGGAGAGAAAGGAAGGGCCCCCACATGGCCTGGCAGCGCTGCGGGCACGGAGCTGGCTCTCTCGAACACTTAGCTCCTCCCGCTGCCATCGCTACCGGTACCAGTTACCCGCTGCTGAGTAAGTCACCCCAGGATGTTGTGGTTTAAAAACAGCGAATGAGGGGTGCCTGGTGGCTCAGTGGTTTGGTGCCTGCCTTCGGCTCAGGGCGTGATCCTGGAGTCCTGGGATCGAGTCCCACGTCGGGCTCCCTGCATGGAGCCTGCTTCTCCCTCTGCCTGGGTCTCTGCCTCTGTGTGTGTGTCTCATGAATAAATAAATAAAGTCTTTAAAAAATAAATAAATAAAATAAAAAATAAAAACAAACGAGGGACCCCTGGGTGGCTCAGTTGGTTAAGCGTCTCCCTTTGGCTCAGGGTCATGATCCCAGGAATCCCAGGATCGGGCTCCCGACTCATCAAGGAGCTTGCTTCTCCCTCTCCCTCTGCTTGTGCCCTGTCTCACTCTGTCAAATATTTTAAAGGACATTAAAAATAAATTTAAAAACAACAAATATTTATCATCCCACACAGTCCCTGGGTGTCAGGAAGCTGGAGGAAGAGGAGTTGGATGGCTCCGGCTTGGGCTGTCTCACGAGGTCAAGGTCAGGCTGTGGGCCGAGGCCGTGTCATCTGAAGGCTCGACCGGGGCTGGAGTTGCCGGGAGTCCAGATGTTCCCTCACGTGGCTGATGGAGGGAGGCGTCAGTTCCTCACTCTGTGGGCCTCTCCAGAGGCTGCTCACGGGCGGTTTACCCCCGACAGGGTGACAGAGAGAAAGCCAGTGTCTTATAACCTGATGTCGGTGGTGACAGCCCATCGCTTGTGCCGGAGTCCTCCACTCATAGAGGCTGGCAAGTGCCGCCCTGGGCTGTGACCAGGATGGAGGTCACCGGGGATCGTCCAGAAGCCTGATTACCTCCCTAGCAAACATGTAACGAGCACCTACTGACTTCCAGTCATTGGCTCAGAATTTCCCCATGTGTTAAGGCAGCACAGTTCCCTGAAACAATCCCATAAGTGGGCTTATTATTCCCGATAGGCAGTATAGCTTTGTGGTTGGGCACACCGCCTCTGGAGCCAGATCTCATGGGCTCGAATCCCAGCTCTGTCACCCACTGGCTGTGTGACTTTGGGCCAGTGACTTCACATCTCTGGCACACTTTTTTTTTTTTCATTTGTAAATGGGGAAAATAGTAGTGCCTACCTCCTGGGTGACACCAGGCAAATGCGGGTTGCTACCATCTTGTGGAGAAGGAAATGGAGAGAGGTGACATGGCGAGAGGTGACGTGTCTTTGTCATGTTGATAGGTTGTGATGGTATTTGGAGGCAGGCAGGTGGGGGTGTCTGGGCCAGAGTTGCCCCCTTTCAGGAGGTGACCGTGTCTCTCTTGCTTCACAGGTCTGCCGCAGTATCCCCCATGGGACTCGGTATGGTGAGCACTTAGGGGACCCCGAGCATGCAGGAAGGCAGGTGGCGTGGAACATGCCTCCACCGCTCAGTGCTTCTGCTGCCGAAGGCCGCACCCACCTGTGCCCATGGCCTGCGCGGGCCTGTCACTCTCCAGCGCCTTTGACATTCTAGGTGCTGCAGGCCAGGACAAGCTCTTGCGTCTTAAGCACAAGCTAAAGACCCTGCGCCTGGGCTGCCGGGGGGCAGACCTCCTGCACGCCATGGTGCTCCTGAAGCTGGGCCGGGAGACGGAGGCCAGGATCTCCCTGGAAGCGCTGAAGGCGGACGCGGTGGCCCGGCTCGTGGCGCACCAGTGGGCCGGCATGGAAGGTGCCGAGGCCCCCGAGGAGCCACCAGACTTGTCCTGGGCAGTCGCCCGGGTGTACCACCTGCTTACCGAGGAGAACCTGTGCCCGGCCACGATGCGGGACCTGGCCTACCAGGCGGCCCTCCGGACCTTCAGCTCCAGGGATGACCACCGGCTGGCCGAGCTCCAGGGAGAGGCCCGGGACCGGTGTGGGTGGGGCATCGTCGGGGACCCGGGGAGCTTCCAGCCCCTTCACTCGGATCTGCATTGCTTCCCGGCATCCTCAGTGTCACCCTCAGTCGCCCGCAGCCTTCCAAAGCCCATAGAGGACCCCTCGGCCTGGAGCCGAGGCCATTCCCTGAGATCCACTGGCAGCCCAGCCTCCCTGGCCAGCAACCTGGAAATCAGCGAGTCGCCCACCATGCCCTTTCTCAGCCGTCACCGCAGCTGCCCTGAGCCCAGCAAGCTGTGCGACGAGCCCCAGGCCAGCCTGGTGCCCAAGCCTGCCCCCACGGGCTGCCAGGAGCCTGAGGAGGTGAGCTGGCCACCATCAGAAGAGACTTCCAGCCCCCCACCAGAGGAGACAGCCAGCCCCCCACCGGGGGAGACTTCCAGCCCCCCACCAGAGGAGACGGCCAGCCCCTCACTGGAAGAGACTGCCAGCCCCTCCTCTGGGGAGGTTGCCAGCCCCTCATCGGGAGAGACTGCCAGCCCTGGGATGCTACCAAACAGCCCAGTCCCCACGCCGCCTCCTGACGTGGTCCCAGATGCAAGCCCCAGTGGCCAGCTTGACCCCCCCAAAGCGGGGCAGATGGGCACCCACTACCCCGTGGAGTGCACTGAAATGTTGGCAGCCCCCAACTCTCTGTCCTTGCCCTCCGGAAACGCTCGGCCAGTGAAGGACCAGACCCCACTCCCGCTTCCCGTAGAAGACACCGCTTCCCAGTTGCCCAACCCCAGCCCACCTCCTCCCTCAGCCCTGAGGACGTCCCCTCCCTGCCCTTTTCCATCCACCCCTCCTTCCACTGGCCCGGCCCCCTTGCACCCCTGCCCGCCTTCTCCAAATTCTCCCGAATTGGAGTCGGAACAGAAATTCTATAACTTTGTGATCCTGCACGCGGCGGCGGACGAGCACATCGCCCTGCGGGTCCGGGAGCGGCTGGAGGCCCTGGGCGTCCCCGACGGTGCCACCTTCTGCGAGGACTTCCAGGTGCCCGGGCGGGGCGAGCTGCGCTGCCTGCAGGACGCCATCAACCACTCGGCCTTCACCATCCTGCTGCTCACCCCCAACCTCGACTGCCGCCTGGGCCTGCATCAGGTGAGCCAGTCGCTGATGAGCAGCCTCACGCGGCACGGGTGGCAAGACTGCGTGGTCCCCTTCCTGCCCCTGGAGAGCTCCCAGGCCCAGCTCAGCCCGGACACGTGCAGCCTGCTCAGCAGCCTGGTGTGGCTGGACGAGCACTCCCGGGTCTTCGCCAGGAGGGTGGCCAACACGTTCAAGGCGCAGCAGCTGCGAGCCCGCAAGGCCCAGTGGAAGAAGGAACAGGACGTCCGGGCCCTGCAGCAGCAGCGCCAGCACCTGGAGGGCGAGCGGCAGCAGGTGGCCTCGCTGAGCGCCGCCTACTCCGCCTACCTCCAGAGCTGCTCGTCGTGGCAGGCGCAGATGGAGACGCTCCGGGCGGCCTTCGGGAGCCACATGCCATTTGGGACTCAGGGGCCCTACGGGGGCCCGGGGCCTCTGGGGGCCCCCCCGCCCCTTCCCTCCTGGTTGGGCCACCAGCCTCCCGCCGCGCCGCCGTGGCTGGCCGGCTCGCCCGCGCCCGCCTTCCCGCCCGCGCCCGCCTTCTCGCCGCCCCCCGCGCCCCCGCAGAGCCCGGGGCTGCAGCCCCTCATCATCCACCACGCGCAGATGGTGCAGCTGGGCCTCAACAACCACATGTGGAACCAGCGAGGGACCCAGGCGCCCGAGGACGACACGCAAGGAGCAGAGTGACCGAGGACCCGGGGCTTGGGGTCACCCCCCAGCCTCCCCGGGGGGCGGGGGGGAGGGGGAATCCCAGGGCGGTGACGTCACCCGGAGGACTCGCTGGCGCGCAGGGCGGCCGGGAGCCGATGCGGCGCTCGCGCGTTCCCAGCTGGGCGGTGGCGGCGGCGAGCGGGCCCGGGGCGTGCGGAGCGTGTTTTAACTGTAATAAATATTTATTGAGTGTTCCCGCCGCTCCGTTCCCGTCGGGGAGACGAAAACTAGTCCCCAAAAGGCAACCGGAAGGGCGGAGCTCGCTTCTCCTCGCGTAAGGCAAGGGACCGGACGCTGTGCAGCTTCTCCCATTTCATTGGCCAGAGCGTCGTCACGTGGGCCCTCCGGCTGCAAGGGAAGCTGGGAAATGTAGTCTTCCGCTGGGCCGTGTGCTTTGCTGAAAGTTTTGGTTCTAATGCTAGAGAATAGGGAGAGAAAAGACTCCGGGAGATATTTAGCACGTACCGCTGTGGCCCCCTTTCTTTTTGTTTTGCCGAGGAGCCTCACCCCCATCCGGCTGGGCTCAGATCCGATCTTGGGCAAGGGCATTCTGGTTTCTGAGCCTCGAGTTCTCATCTGAGAAATGGGTTTGAGGCTTCAGGGTTGTCCACAGATCCTGTGGGAGACGCTGGGGCTCCAGGGATAGTGCTCATTAACTGCAGGCCCAGAGAGGAGGGGGTTCATCTTTTTCCAGGGTCAAAGACCTTTGAGAAAGAATTAACATTTGTTGGGCGCTCACTTTATGGATTCCACAGGCTTTGGAGATCCAAACGTATTTTATTTTACTTTATTTTTTAAAATATTTATTTATTCATGAGACACACAGAGAGAGGTAGAGACACAGGCAGAGGGAGAAGCAGTCCCACCCGATGTGGGACTCGATCCCAGGACCCAGGATCACGACCTGAGCCAAAGGCAGATGCTCAACCACTGAGGTACCCAGGTGCCCTATTTTTTTTATTTTTATTTTTTAAAGTAATCTCTGCACCCAAGGTGAGGCTTGAACTCAGGACCTAGATATTAAGTCGCATGCTCCACTCACTGAGCCAGCCTGGCACTCCTGAACCTATTTTAAACCCCAAAACTGACCTCACTCAGGGTAGAAGCTTATATCGCTGGGCTTATTTTATGGATAGGGAAAACAGGCTCGAAGGGGTGAATTCTGCCCCGCCCCCCGCCCCAGGTCACATGGGTCAGAAGTGGGGGGATTATAGTTTCCAAGGGAGGGAGTGCAGGAAGGGTGAGCTCCGGCTGGCTGAGCCAGGAAGCTGCCACCTCCCCTCCCACCCGACAGCTCACTCAAACATTAACTTTGCAAGCCTTTCCCTCCATTTCCTGGGGCCCAGGAGGGCGGGCCCAGCTGAGTCACCCAGGCCGCCAGATACCACTTGTTATTTTCATCGCTGACTCAGATTTTGTCGGGGCTCAGCTTCCGGAAGCCTCCGGAGCACTGAAGTGAAACCTAGGGAGGAACCCCAGAGATCAGCTTCCAGGGTGCGCCGAGGTGGGCCGGTACGTGGACAGACGGTTTCTGATCACGGGGGCAAGAGCTAGCAGCAAATAACTGGCCGATTGCAGTTCATTTGAGCAGCATTTATTGAGTGCCTACTGCATACCCGGATTGCCCCAGGCACTGGCGTGCCATAGGGAGGGGCAAAGGCAATCACACTCCATCCCTTGCTCTCCTTTCAGGTGGAGGCGGAGGGAGGGGGGCGGTGAATGAGTCTTCACATGAAGGAGCCTGATAGCATCAGGAATGGAGGGGTATCAGAAGGACTGAGCGCTGAGATGGGAGTGGCCCAGGAGGGAAAACTTTGCCCCATGTGGCCAGGGAAGGCCTCTCTGAGGAGGCGGTGTTAGGGCCAAGACCCGTAGGAAGAGGAGCTGGTCATGATGAGAAGAGCTTGAGGACAGGAGTGATTTTTCTGGGCAGCGGAAACAACTTGTGCAAAGGTCCTGGGGCAGGGCCCTGCCCGTCATGTTGGAGGAACAGGAGGAAGGGGAGAGAGGGTGGAGGGGAGGACAGGGAGGAGACAGCAGCGGGCCCCTGGAGGGCTGTGGGCAGAGGGCCCACAGGCCCCAGGTGCTCACAGGCGCCCTCTGGTGGCCGCTCTGGGGAGGACAGACCGGGAAGGGGGTGCACAGCCCTGAGCCTGGGGCCAGAGCAAAGGCAACAGAGCTGATGGGGTGATGGGGTCCCTGAGAAACTGTGCGACCTGGGACAAGTCACTGCCCCGTCCTGGGCCTCATCCTTCCCATCCGGACGCGGTCCTAGCGACTTCAGGCCTGGGACTCCAGAACTCCGCGGGTCCCTGTGTCACTCCAGCGTGTTTAAAGGACAAGCATTTTGAAAGCCTGGGGCCGGTGGCGCCTGGGTGGCTCAGTTGGTGGGGGCGTCTGCCTTCGGCTCAGGTCGTGACCCCAGAGCCCTGGGGTCAAGTGCTTCTCCCTCTGCTGCTCCCCCTGCTTGTGCTCTCGCTCTCTGTCAAATAAATACATAAAATATTTAAAAAGTAAAGAAAAGAAAGAAAAAAAGGAAGGAAAATCCTGGGCTGGATGAATTTATTTCATCCTTCCAACAGCCCAGGAGCTGGAGACTATCCTTGTCCCCAGTTTATAGATGAGGAAATGAAGGCCCAGAGAGGTGAAGTCACTTATCCCAGGTCACACAGCACTGAAGTAGCCTTTGGGGGCAGAAGAAGGAGCCGGGTGTCTCTCTACTGGGTTCTAGCCCATTCGGGGATGGTGCAGACTGTTCATGCATGGCCTCCATTGCTTTTGTGTGTGCCTGTATGCTTCATTCTGTGAAATAGTCCCGTCCCCTTTGTGGCTCCCGGATCTGTCTGGGTCACTGTGGTGTCTTCAGGGCCCAGCACAGCATGTGGCCCACGGTAGGCGTTCAGAGAGTGGGTCCTTTGGAGGAACAGGATTCGGGGCGCCTGCTGCGCCCAGGCCTGTGTCAGGTGCTGTCCCTGCCCCGCGGAGTTCCCTGGGCAGCGGGTGGCGACCATGTGGCTTCATCCCCCCACGTATCCAGCCCGCATTTATTTTTTATTTTTTTTTAAGATTATTTATCTATTTATTCATGAGAGACACACACAGAGAGGGGGCAGAGACACAGGCAGAGGGAGAAGTAGGCTCCAGGCAGGGAGCCCGACGTGGGACTCGATCCCAGGACCCCAGGACCAGGCCTGGCAAAGGCAGCCGGTCAACCACTGAACCGCCCAGTCCGCATTTATTGAGCTCCTACTGGGTGCACTATGAGGCTTACCAGACCCCAAGGTGACCCGAGACAACCCGGTTCTGTTCTCACGGGGCTCACAGTCCACCGTCAGAGGTGGGGACCTGGACCCAGGGCAGGGGTCAGGCCTGTGATGGAGAAGAGTAGGGGCTGCGGAGGCTGGAAGGGGACTGCTGGCCAGCCTGGGGGCGGGGGTAAGAGAAGCTTCTGGAAGGAGGAAGTCAGCGGAGACTTGAGGCCTATGTTGGAAGGAGCCGTGGGCTGGGAGGAGAGCTCCTGGAGGTGCGCGCGATGCACACGGGCGGGGCGGCTGGGGGCGCACACCCCCCGCGATCCCCTGCGGAGAAATGGGGGGCGGGAGTTTTTATTTTTTAATGTCCCCTTCTCTAACAGCCGTGAGACACGAATCAGTACCAGGCGACTAGTTCTCGGAGGTTAAATGCTGGGTCCCTGCGGCCTCCCGGGGCGGGCCGGAGGGCAGCGCGCGGCCGGGGGCACGGGGAGGCCCGGCTGCCCGCCAGGGGGCGCCCGCGAGCCCCTCGTGCTTAGCGCTCCGAGACAAAATCACTATTATTACTTAACGAAGTCCCTTATTCGCCGAGCACATTGTTTAACACCTGCCTTCCCCAGACGATGGGCTCGGATCTGTTGATTCACTCCTGGGCCCCGGTACCTGGCTCGCAGCAGGTGCTTAATAAATGAATTTGAAAAAAAAATAATTTAAAAAAATTTTTAAAAATGAATTTGAATTAATGTGCACATTTTGTTATCTTTAAAATAATCTCTCTGGGTGCCTGGGGGGCTCAGTCGGTGAAGCGTCTGCCTTCAGCTCAGGTCATGATCCCGGGGTCCTGGGATCGAGTCCCATCTCCGGCTCCCTGCTCAGCAGGGGTGGGGGGGGAGGGCTGTTCCTCCCTCTCCCTCTGCCCCGCCCCCTGCCTTGTATTCTCTCTCTCAAATAAATAAAATCTTTTTTAAAAAAAAGTTTAGGGATCCCTGGGTGGCGCAGCGGTTTGGCGCCTGCCTTTGGCCCAGGGCGCGATCCTGGAGACTCGGGATCGAATCCCACGTCGGGCTCCCAGTGCATGGAGCCTGCTTCTCCCTCTGCCTGTGTCTCTGCCTCTCTCTCTCTGTGACTATCATAAATAAATAAAAATTTAAAAAAATGTATAAAAAAAAAAAGTTTAAACAGACAAGCAATACTCTGTCCCATGTTTCCTTCCTGCCTCTTGGTGAATGTCCTGCTCGTTCGTTTTGTTCATCGAACAGTGCGTATTGAGCACCTACTATATGCCAGGGATGGTTTCAGAGCTGGCGGACAAAATGTCGAGTAACATAAGCCCTGTTGTTGCCCTCACGGGGCTCACATCTCGGCGGGGGAGACAGACACACCGCTAGGTGGCTGGTTGCAGGCAGGGTGGTCCTGGGTGCGATGGGGGAGGCAGAGGCCACTGTGGGGGCGCTGGAGTTGGGGGCCAGTCGTGGGAGGCTTCCTGGAGGAGGCATTCCCGGAAGGGAAGGCTACAGCAGGCGGAAGGTGGAGCCCAAGCGAGATCCCTTGGTGGGAGGCAGCTCGGCGCCCCCGGGGGTGGGGGTGGGGGTGCCGCTGTGCTCGACCTGAGAACCTGTGTCCCCTACGTGCCCCTCCTGCCCCCGGAAGACGATGCTGCGCTTGTGGGGATCCAGGGGTGCTGCAGTGAGCACGGTGCGCCACCAGGGGGCGCCACGGGACAGTGGTTCCAGCCCCCGCCCCTGCCTGGGGCTGGAGCGGCCCAGGGGCCGAGCCCCCCTTAGAGGACCTGGGTGCAGGCCTTGCCCCGCCGGCGGCCCCCGCCCCATAAACAGCCCCACTAACTGCGTCTCCGGGCGCCGTCTGGTCCGATGCTGTTGGGGACCACGGCCCAGAGAGGGCGGACACCTCCTCCAGGCCCCCAGCAGGGTCCGTGTCACCCCAGCGCCTCTGGGCCCGGAGCGTTTATTTTTAGCGGGTCCCTGGCCGCGGCCTTTTTATAGCCCCGGGAGGTGCCAGGGTGTCTTATTTCCAAGGGAAGTTTAGAAAATTGTTCTCGTCCCAAGGAGCTTCCTGACCTCTCAGGGGGGCCTGGCCCAATGTCCCGTCTTCCCTGCTGCTCCCCCGGGGTCCCCCAGGCCCCGCAAGGGGCTCCGCACACCCCGCGCCCCTACCTTGGCCCAGCGGGGGGTGCTGTGGCCGCGACGAGCGCCCCGCCCTCTGTCCTCTTACCTACTTTACCTTTTCTATTTGTCCAGTCGTGTAATATATTTTCTTTAAACAGGCTTGAAAATTCCCTTTTTTGGGATCCCTGGGTGGCGCAGCGGTTTGGCGCCTGCCTTTGGCCCAGGGCGCGATCCTGGAGACCCGGGATCGAATCCCACGTCGGGCTCCCGGTGCATGGAGCCTGCTTCTCCCTCTGCCTATGTCTCTGCCTCTCTCTCTCTCTGTGTATGTGACTATCATAAATAAAAAAAAAAAAAAAGAAAATTCACCTTTTTTGGCCCCTCCTGGAATCCGAGCACGGCGACCGCAGGGAAGCCACCGAGCTGCAGCCTCAGGCTGGCGAACCTGGGCCCGGGAAGCACTTGTTCACAAACTGACCTTTGTTTTAAATCCTGGTCATTTTTGGTAATAACGATTGTAAACTGCTTTGCTAAACACACAATCAGTCAAGGAACATAAAGCTTGAAAGCCCGAGTGTCAGACGTGACCTGCAGGCTCTGGGCGCCTCCCGTGCCCCAGGACATCCTCACGGACCATCGGACCATCGCGTCCTTCCTGGACACCGAGGTTCGAGGTTCGGGAAAGCTCCACGGGCGCCGCCCTGACCACCGCCCCACATCGCCCAGTGAGCGGGCCTGTTTGCTGAGTGAGGAACCTGGACCCCATCAGAGCTTTGGTGGCAGGTTGGTGGCCGGAGGGCCGAATCCAGAAGCACCCCCACCAGATGTGTTTCATTTCACTTTTTTTTTTTTTTAAGATTTTTATTTATTTATGAGAGAGAGAGAGAGAGGCAGAGGGAGAAGCAGGCTCCATGCAGGGAGCCCGACGTGGGACTCGATCCCAGGACCCCAGGATCAGGCCTTGGACTGAAGGCGGCACTAAACCGGTGAGCCACCCGGGCTGCCCTCACTTTTTTCTTAATAAAATATTTTCTAACGGAGTTTTCAATTCCTGTGTAATTAATACAGGGATAGTAGCTTCAGGTGTGCAACACGGTGATCCCACACTCACTCCTATGCATTACCCAGCACTCGTCACATCGATATTTGACTTTTAAAAGAACCAGCTTTTGGGTTCATTGATTTTTCTCCATCCTTTGTGCACTTTTATCTTCTTTTTACTTTTTAAAATTTTATCTATTGGGGCACCTGGGTGGCTCAGGGTGTGGCCCGTGTCCCGGGATCGAGTCCCGCATCGGGCTCCCCGCAGGGAAGCTGCTTCTCCCTCTGCCTGTGTCTCTGCCCCTCTCTGTGTCTCTCAGGAATAAACAAAATCTTTAAAAAATAAAGTTTTGTCTAAGGAAACTACAACCAACGTGGGGCTCAAACTCACCACCCGAGATCGAGTCACCTGTTCCTCTGACCGAGCCCGCCGAGGGCGCCTTGTTTGTGCATTTGTTCCCCCGATTCCCAGTTTTCGCTCCTGGGGTTATTTGCACCCCTACTTCAGCTTCCTGAGGGGGGGTTGGCGCCCTCCAGGGAAGGACGATCCCACCCAGATGCCGCTCTCCTGGCCCCGAGTGGCAGGAAGGGGGACATTGGGCTGTGCGCCTCCCACGCAGGCTCCTGGCCAGGGCCCTCCTGCTCCACTGGCCCGGGTGCAGCCCCCCCACCCCCAGCTGGTCTAAGCTCCAAGCTCAAACCCGGGGACCTCTCCCTGGGCCTGGAGCGGCAGTGGCTGCCCATTGCCCCAAGACCTCGGGAGGCCCCGCACCGCCTGCCTGGCCCCCCCAACCCTCGTCTGGGCACATGGGCCTCCTTGTGAATTCACGGATTCATTCAGCAAACTACTGCAGCCAGGCCCACTTGTAGGCACGGGGACACTACGGTGCACGAGCTGGTGCAGGCGACATTCCAGGGAAGGGGAGACAAGGAACAAATAAGGAGGCACATAAAAAGACCAGGATCATCTCGGGGGTTCAAGTTCTACGTGGGGTCAAGGACGGCTGAGATGCTCTCGATGACCTGGGAGGGCTTCCCGAAGGAGGGGACATAGGCTGAAAACTATTGCTCCAGGAGCTTTCAGGAGGGGACACTGAGGCATTGGGCAGGGGGTGAAGTTGCCCGGGGAGGGGGGTGTCTCCAAGGTCCCACCCAACGCAGTCTCGACGTCTCTTCTGCAACCTACAGGAAGCCCAGGTGCCAGGGTCCGGGAGGGAACTCGGGCTCCCTCGTCCAGTCCCTGCGACTGACCCGCAGGAATCCACACCCGCCGGCTGCGGGGACACAGGGTCGGTGCCCTGCTGTGCCACCCCCGGTGCCAGCGCTCCCAGGGCTGCGATGTGATTCGGAGCCGAGCTATCTTTAACTTGGGGCCGGGACGCTCCGCTCCCTCCCTGTAAATAAACACCACTCCCCTCCCTGTAAACACCGCTCAGATGACAGTCCTGGAATCAGGGAGGGGGGGTGGGGGGTGGCGGGCCCAGGCTCCCTGAGGGGGACACTCCCCCGAGAATTCACCCAGCCCTCTGCTCCCCCGATGCGTGGGCGCCCAGGACACGGCGGTGACCCCTGTGGAGCTCGGGGGGCTGAGGCGGGCATGCCCCAAGCAGCTCCCGGGGGTGGGGGGCTGCAGGTGGACACCCCCAGCCTGGGCTCCCAGCCCGCTCGGCTCGCCTTGCCAGTGACTTCAGGCACCAGGCCCGCTGGGAGCCTGAGCAGCCGCGCACCTGTCCCCCAGCTTACGTGACCCCGCTTTCTCCCAGACTAGAGGTCTGGGGCCACGGGCTCCTCCTCTGAAGTCCTGCAAGCCGAGGCAGGGTGAAGCAACGAGCAGCTGGGCTCCCAGGCCACTGTGCCGGGTCGTGGTTGGGGTCTGACCCAGGGGGCAGGAAGATGTCTCCAGGCTGCCACCCGGGGACGCCTTCCCCTGCTCCAGGAACCAGATCCTCCACCGTCTGGAGCAGCGGGATCACCGCTCACTGTGAATCTGAGCGGCCTCCGCGAGCCTGGGGCTCAAGTCCCAATTCTCAGGTCTGAGCCCGGGGCCGCTTTCCTCTGCGGCGTCTTCCAACACGTCCCAGCCACTTCCCCCGCTTGCCAAGCAGGAGCAAGAACACCCACTTCAGGGACACCCGGGTGGCTCAGCGGTGGAGCGTCTGCCTTCAGCTCAGAACGTGATCCCGGGTTCCGGGATCGAGTCCCACATCAAGCTCCCTGCTCCTCCCTCTGCCTGGGTCTCTGCCTCTCTCTCTGTGTGTCTCTCATGAGTAAATAAATGAAATCTAAAAAAAAAAAAAAAAAAAAAAAAGAACACCCACTTCACGGGGCTGCAGTGAGCGGCCCACGAAGGCGCGTGGGAAGGAGCCTTCATACAGCCAGGGCCCAATAATTGCTCTGGCGGCGCTGCATCTCCTGAGGCCGCTCCTGAGCTCCCACGGATTCCTCCTCCAAGGCAACGACGTGGAGCGGGCGGACCCCAGTGAAGCCAGGAGACCGAGCAGCAGCCCCCTGGCCCAACACGCTGGGGAGGCCTGGCCATCCCTGTCATGTGGGGGTCCTGCCAACCCCATTCAGGCCCCAGGCCACATAGCTACCGGGAACGGGGAGCAGACTTCCCTCCCCAGCCAGCAGCGGCCCCAGGAAGCCCACCAGGGTCACGACGGCCTCTGGGGCCCCCCCACCTCTGCTGGGGCAACCCCAGGGCAAAGCAGGGTTTTGGACTCAGTGGCTTTCCCTTCTCTTCCATGTGCACAACAGGCCACTTCCCCGGGAAATCTGAGCCGGCGCCGCAGGACACACCCAGAAAGTCCCCGAGTGGGTGACGGTGGCCAGGGCCCTGGGCTCTCCGTGGCCCCCACCACGGGCCCCTGAGCTCAGCGGCCCCCTCTCCCGGCCTGCCCCCGGTGGCCCCGACCAGAGACTCGAGCATCAGCGTGGAGACTCACAACGTAACTGCCTCATTGCTTTATTCCGCGCTGTCAAGGGACAGGGACTGTTTCCTGCCTTGACGGAAGCTCAAACCTGGCCTTGTAAATAAATAATGTCCTAACTAACACTGCAAATCCAAACGAGGCCGCTTCCTCAGTGGGCGGGATACCCAGGGACCCAGCGTGGGGTGGGGGAGGGGGACCCCCTCTCCTGGGCGGGGGCAGCTGCTCGCCCGGTCTGCGGCTGCCTGCCTGCGCAGCGCCGCTCCAGGGACCTCGAGGAGGCAGGTTCCCCAGTGCGGGCACCTGGGACCCTGAGCGATGGGGACCGGGACTGCGTGTCACCTACGCTGGCACCATCTTATCTGGCTGACTCAACAGCGTACTTGGAACCTGCTCAAGGGGTCAGACTCTCGAGCCGCTAAAAAAAAAAAAAAAACCGGATGGCTAGAGCGGCCGGGCTGCCCACAGCTCGGGATCTGCGAGGCGGAAGCGGCCTGCAGTTTTCTAACTCAGAAACTGTGGGAACCAAACCCGAGCCAGCCCCGTTCTCGCTGGGTGGGGGGCTGGGGCCCCGCCAGCTCCTTCGGTGTTTGGAAAATGCTTCTCTTCCGGGTGAGGCTGGAGAGCCGGGAAGCCCACGGAGAAGGCAAACAAGTGAAGTTCTTGAAAATGTTGCCCCTCTCCCTTTCGCCACGGACACGGAGGACCTTCACCTCCCTCGCCGAATCCTCCACGCCGTAAAGCTCGCTCCTCGTAGCCTTGCCACTGCTCAGGCACAACCCACTGCTCATGCACAACGAGAACCTCGCTGGGCGGAGTTAACTAAATCTTGACCAAAAATTCATTAAAAAAAAAAAAATGGCAGCACAACCTCAGGACTCCGGCCACACGTGCAGCCTGCCCGCTCGTGAATCAACACAACAGCAAACCAACGAAAGCAACGCGAGGGGCAGGCTGCCCTGGGCACAGAGCCCGGCCCACAGTGCAGCAGGGAGCGGGGTGCAAGCGCGCTGGAAGAAGTGGGTCGATCTTGCTTCTCGAGTCTCCGACTTTCGACCTCAGGAGCCCCCAGTCCCAACACTGCACTCGGCGCCTGGGCTCCTCCGGCCGCACAGGGGCAAAGCAGCCTGGACCCCGTTCTCAGCTTCTTCCCGTTTCTAGGAGAAGGAAGGCAAAAGCTTCGATCCCCCTGCCTCCAGGCAAGGAGGCAAATCCTCTGAAACCCGGGCAGGCGGGACGAGTGGCAGGGCGTGCCTCTTCTCCCGATGGCAAAGACCCAGCTCTTGGAGCACGTGATCCCGAAGACTTTGAGCACCGACATCTTGCTAGTTCCCTTCTCCTCCCCGCAGAGGCTACGGGGCTGTGGAGGCTGGAAAGCCCTTCTGTGCCACCCAGGGGCTCAGGAAGAGAGTGAGAGCGAGAGTGTGGGCTCCGCCCTGCCCGGAAGCTCCTCTCGGGAGCCCGTCAGTGTAGCTCGATGAAAGCCTCCAGCTCCTCGGGGATGAAGCCCTTGTAGGGGATCTTGTTCTTGTCCAGGGCACGGGCCGCAAGGCACTGCAGGGTCACGTAGTTGAAGGGCTGGATGGTGCTCTTGGCCAGCAGCTTTTCATCCAGCAGCTCGTAGGCGGTCTTCTTGAAGGCATTGGTGGCATCCATGTGGGCACCCGCTTCGATCAGGGTGTTCATGATCCCCGGGCAGTTGTTCTGGGCCGCTATGTGCAGCGGCGTGTTGTTGTCAAAGTCCCGGCTGTCCGGGTCGGCCCCACAGTCCAGCAGCACCTTAACCACCTGGAGGGAGGGGAACCTGCCCACCGGGTAGCGGCCGACGTTGGTGGTGTCCTTGTCCACAGCCATGTGCAAAGGAGTGAAGCCGTTCTTGCCTCGCGGGGCACACTTGAGCAGCCGGTAGACGGTCTGGTGCTTCAGGTGCTCCTGGTCTGGCGTGCACTCCACTTTCTCCAACAGGTAGAGCAAGTGGAGGATGATGGCCAGGGCCTTGGTGAACTGGGCCGAGTCCCCCGGCTCCTTGGGCAGCTGCAGGGCCCGCTCCACCTCCCGCACTCCCTTGCACAGCACCCCCATAAGGTCTGCGAAGCCGATCTGCGTGCCCAGGCTGCCCTTGGCCGCCCGGTCCTGGAGCACGTAAGAGAAGAGTTCGGCAAAGGACAGGAAGCTGCTGGCGGTCATGGGGCTCAGCGGCTCCAGGTTGCTCTGCTGCATGTCCAGGGCGTACTTCCACAAGCGGATGCAGCGCTCGAAGTTGCCCGAGTCGGCGTACACCGCACCCCGGTAGCGGATGTAATAGGACGTGTCCGGGTGAGAGGGGCCCAGGATGCGCTCCCGGATCAACAGCGCCTGCATGCGCATCTCGTCGGGGTCCGTGATCAGCGCTTCCAGCTCCTCGGTGGTGTTCACCTCCCTGGAATAGTCGTAGGCCAGGACCAGCTGCGGGGGCTCGGGTTTGGGCAGGTAGGCGCCGCCCTGGTGCCGCAGCTCCATCGCGCGTCTCCAGTGCTTCAGGGCCCCGAGCAGATCCCGCTTCTTGTCCACGTAGGTGGCTCCCAGCAACTCCAGCGCCTCCACGGCGGCTTCCCGGCTGGTGGGGCAGCAGCTCTCGTAGGAATCGCCAAGCGGTTCCTCCGCCGCCGCCGCGGAGGAGCCTCGGCCGCAGCGGGCCCCCTGGGGCTGCGCGCCTGCCGGGCCTGCCGGGCCTGCCGGGCCGGGGGCGGCGGCGGAGGCGGAGGAGGAGGCGGAGGCGGAGGCGGGGGGCGGAGGGGCCCTCCCGCCGCAGCCCCGGCCGCACCCCGTCCCCAGCAGGCTGCTCCTGGATCAGGTACTCCACGATGTTGGTGTGGCCCGTGACGCTGGCCGCCAGCAGCGGGGTCATGCCGTAGCCGTCGCGCTCCATGCGGGCGTTGCACCCCAGCAGCAGCTGCAGGATCTCCAGGCTGCCGGACTCGGCGCAGTCGTGCAGGGCCGTGTTGCCCTTGGCGCTGCGCCGGTTCACCTGGGCGCCCTGCTCCAGCAGGTAGCGGGCGATCTCGCGGTGGCCCTTGTAACAGGAGATCATGAGGCAGGTGTGGCCGTGCCGGTTGGCCACCTCCAGGTCGGCCTGGTGCTCGCCCACCAGGTAGCGCACCACCTCCAGGTGCCCGTCGAAGCAGGCGGCGCGCAGCGGCGTGGAGTTGGTGCGCGTGGTGCGGTTCACCGAGGCCCCGCGGCGCAGCAGGCTGCGCACCACGTCCAGGTGGCCGGCGGCCGACGCGGCCCAGAGCGGCGGCGCGCCCTCGATGGTCTCGCCGTCGAAGTGCACCGAGCCGCCCGCCTCCACGCTCGCGCCGCACCGGTCCACCAGGTACTCGACCACGTCCAGGTGGCCGTAGCGGGCGGCGATGAGCAGCGGCGTCCCCCCGCCCGCCACCTCGCCCGTCAGCTCATCCAGCTCCTCCCGGCTGCGGCCGCTGAGCAGCTTCTGAAGCAGCTGCAGCTTGCCGTCGCGGGCGGCGTTGTACACGGCGGTGCGGAGGTCCATGGTCCGGGCTTCCGCCAGGCCATGGGCCGGCCGCCGGGGGACGCGGAGGGCGCGGGCTAGCGCCCGGACGGGCAGGCGGCAACCTTCACCGTCTCCCCCGCCGCCATCTTAGGGGCTTCTCCGGCGGAACAAAATGGCTGCCGCGGCCGGGCGCCGCGGACGAAGCGGCGGGCGCGCTGGGAAATGTAGTCCCGGGGGGCCGGCCTCCTCCGCAGGGTAGAAGGCGAACGGAGAGGGCCAGGACTACCACTCCTAGAAGGGCGCGCGCCAGCCTAGGCGAACTGGGAGCGCGGTGCGTGGTGGGGATTGTCGTTCCCACCGAGACGATTGAGGCCGAAACTGGCGACGCGTGGACTACAATTCCCGCCGCGCAATGCTTTTCACGATGACTTCTGCGACCCGGGCAACTTTGCCGACGTACTTCCTGTGGCTCCTCCGGGCTCTGGCCCACGAGAAGCGCAGGCGCGGGCCGAGAGACTACATTCCCCGAAAGGCATCGCGAGCGACTCGGAGCCAATCAGGGGCGAGAACGAGGTCGACGGCCCGGGCTGATCTAGGTTTGGCGCGGCCGAGCCGCTGGCCGGCAGGGGGCGCTCGGGAGAGGCGGGAGAGCTGGCGGCGCCAGGACGTTAGGGGAGCGGAGGGTACAGGTGGCCCTCGGGGTCGGTCGCCCGCGCTCTCTCGCTCGCCCTGCAGCCATTCATATGCATGCACACCTGTACTTACTCTCTCGTTGATACACTACTGAACATTTACTTTTCCTGCCCTAAACCCTTGACACCCTAAATGCAAAACCTACATTGTTTCAGATCGGTCACCTGGCCCAGGAGCTCTCCAGCCGTCCTCATGAGTAAAGCCTCTGGGGTTGGGGGCTTGGAGGATTTCCGTCCGTGGACACGGGGCAAGTTAAATGGCAGGCTCGGGATTTGAACCCAGGCAGCTTCTGTGGCTCCGTCCTTTGTAGGATCGCGCGCACGATGAAAATGTGGCTTCCCTTGTCCCAAATTAAGAATTTCCCAGTGGTGCCAGCAGAGCATCAAACCCAGTGTGGGGCCCACCTGAGCCCAGGCCCCCCCCCCCCCCCGGGCGAGTGCACCCACAGGGCAACAGCCAGGAAGCCTGAGCCCCACCCCCCAAGTGAGACCTTGACCCCCAAAGTTCTCCCGCCTGCACTTTGCTGCTGCCTGCCCCAAGGTTACTGAGAATTGTGGGAAAGAGGAAGGATGCTGGCATGGCCAGGAGGGTTCAAGGGAGTGTATAGTGTTCTCACACCTCCCAAGTTTTGCATGCGCTGTTCCCTCTTCCTGAAACACTGTTCCGCCTATGGGGCCTTCTTCGGGTGTCAGCTGACACGTCAAGCCTTCCTGTGTGCGTCCCTGACCCGGTGCTCCCCGGGCTGCCCTCCCCGGCACCATTGTTCTCCAGGAAGCTTAGGGAAATGCTCAGGCTGCTCTAACAGAGCGCAGCCAGGGTGGCCGTGTTAGGGCTCCCAGGGAAATAGAGCCCAAGGGTAAATGTCCTAGACACACACACACACACACACACACACACACACACACACGGAATTGGCTCACAAAATTGTGGAGGCCACGAAGTCCCCTGATTGGCCATCTGCAAACCAGAGGCCCAGGAGAGCTGGTGGCGTGATTCAGTCCGGGGCCAAAGGCCTGAGAACCAGGAGCTCTGATTGCTGACAGCGGGAGACAGGGATGTCCGCGCTCCAGGAGGGAGAGCAAATTCTCCCTCCCTCCGCCTTTTCGTTCTATCCAGACCCTCCAGAAATTGGGTGAGGCCCACCCTCATTAGTGAGGGCGTGTTGATTACTCGGGCTACCGATTCCAGTGCTTGTCTCTTCCAGAGACGCCCTCACTCACATGCCCAGGAGACCGTATTACATGCGATCTCAGCATCTCACAGCCCAGCCACGTTGACTCATATGAATCATCATAGGGGCTTGAAGGACGAATATTTATTTCCCACAGTTTTGGAGGCTAGATGCCGGAGATCAGGGTGCCAGCGTGGCCGGGTTCAGTGAGAGGCCTTCCCTGGCTCGTGGATGTCACCTTCTCGCTGGGTGCTCACGTGAAGGAGAGGGCTCTGGTCTCTTTGTCCCCTGGAAAGGGCACTAATCCCACCGTGGGGGCCCCACCCTCGTAACCTCGTCCTACCCTGACCACCGTTCAAAGGCCCCACCACCAAGAGCCATCCCATCGGTGTTAGGGCCTCAACATGTGGACTTGAGGGACACCAACATTCAGTACACAGCACATGGCTGCCTGAGGTTCCAGGAATTTCTGGATTGCTGCACATAAAGGAGGGAAAAGAAATCGCAGCTCCAAGGAGGGAGAGGTGAGGACGGAACCCCTCGCACAGGCTCGGTGGGGTGCATTTCTTCTAGAGACGGGAGCATGTGTAAATGTGGGGACCAGAGGCAAAGGCAAGCTCTGAGTGTCCCTGGGTTCACAAGGGGCGGGACAGGGATTTGAACCCAGCCCCTCCAGCTCCAGACAGAACCTGTGGCCTTAGTCACAGCACCGTACGTGCCAGCAAGCTGTGGTATCTTTCATGCCATCGACTGAACTTCAGTTCTACAGTCTTTCTTGTTGCACAAGTGTTATATATTCTCTACAAAAACTGACAAAAACCCCAAAAACCAAGAACAAGTCAGGAAATGCAGACAAGCAAAGTGAGAGAGGAAAAACTGCGAAAAACCATTCTTTACCATATCCCCTAGCCTGAAACGTAACTATGATCGATCTGCAAACACTTTTTTAAGATTTTATTTTAGGTAATATCTACACCTAACCCGGGACTCAAACCCACAACCTTGAGATCAAGAGTTGCATGTTCCGTGGCTGGAGCCACCCAGGTACCCCGACCCAGAAGCATTTCTCTTCTCTTGCATCCTGTTCGGTGCACACGTCTGAATTTCCCTCATTCTTATTGCCATTGGTTGTTGAAAACAACACCTGGAACTTAATAACAGCTCTTCAGGGGCAAAAAAAAAAAAAACATAAAACCAAAAAGCACCCCACACCACGCTAAAGATTTTAAGATTTTATTTTATTATTTATTTATGAGAGACCAGAGAGAGAGAGAGAGAGAGAGAGGCAGAGACTCCATGTAAGAAACCCGACGTCGGACTCGATCCTGGGACTCGAGGATCATGCCTTGGGCCGAAGGCAGGCGCTAAACTGCTGAGCCACCCAGGGATCCCCCTATGTATGGCTTTAAGTGAAATATAGCTCAGTTTTTTTTTCCTGATTCCTGAAAAGGGAAAAGGAGTCATTTGGGGGATCAAGAAAATACAGGTGTTACATTACCTGCTTTTTTGCACTATGCATTACAGCTTGAAGATTTTACCATTCACGTTTTATGCAGACAGTCCTCCTGCCGGTGGCCATTTATCAGGTGCCCGTTACATGCCAGGTGCCTCTCTGGACATCAGGGGTGTGAGTGAACAAGACAAAAAAATCTAGGCCCTGGAAGAGCTGATATTCAAATAACATAGATCTTCCAGCAGTCTTTTATTTAATTTTTTCTTTCTTTTTTTTAATTACTTTTTATATTTAAATTTTTTTTTTAATTTTTTTACGATAGTCATACAGAGAGAGAGGCAGAGACACAGGCAGAGGGAGAAGCAGGCTCCATGCACCGGGAGCCCGACGTGGGATTCGATCCCGGGTCTCCAGGATCGCGCCCTGGGCCAAAGGCAGGCGCCAAACCGCTGCGCCACCCAGGGATCCCTAAATTTATTTATTATTATTTTTTATTTAAATTTGATTGGCCAACACATAGTATAACACCCAGTGCTCCAGCAGGCTTCTTAGGATAGCATTCCATAGTGTGGAAACGTGTTACGATTTATATAGATAATCCCCTGCCGTCAAACCCCCCGCCAGCTACATACTTGTAGCCAAATATTTCTGTTTTCTTTAATTGTTTTTTTTTTTTTAATTGGAGCAAAATATAAAATTAACCTTTTGAGCATTTCTGAGCGCACAGCTCAGGGCATGAAGCACACTCACCCTGCCCCTCACCCATCCCATCACCATCTCCAGAACCTTCCATCTCCCCATAGGGAGACCCCAGGAAGCATGGACCCCCCGCCCCCTGCCCCACCCCTGGCTCCCACCACCTCCTCTCTGTCTCTGTGGACGGGCCTCCTCTGGGGACCTCCTGGGAGTGGGGTCCTGCAGGAGGCGTCCTTCTGGGTCTGGGTCCCCTCCCTGAGCCCGTGTCCTCGAGGACCGTCCACGTGGGGGCAGGTGTTCAGGATGTCCTAACCCACTTCCTGTCCATAGATTCGCCTGTTCCAGACACTTCATGTAAATGGAGCCACACACCACGTGGCCTTTTGTGTCTGGTCCTCTCACTGAGCATCCTGTGCTTGGGGTCCAGGCACGTCGCAGATTCTATCTTCCTAAGTCCCTGCAGTTCTGGATTTTCTGGCCTGCATCGGGAACGCATCCTAACTCGCCCACTCGAAGGGAAAATCAGAAGCGAGGGAAGGAAGGGCTGAAGTTTGAATGAGATTGAGGGTAACCAACAGGGCAAGATAGCAGTGACATTTGGTCGGGGGGGGGAGGGACCCCGGGAGTAGGGGTACCTGACCTTGGACTCCTCTACCCTCCAGAGGAAAGTCGAAGAACAGAATGTGGGCACTGGAAAGGAGAGAGATTGGGGGAGCCCCAGGTCCCGGAGCTCCCCTAGCTGCGCTCTGCCCTAGAGCAGAGTAAGGACGTGCCCACGGCGACCTTAGATTTCACTGGCCCCGGCTCCCACCCATGGACGAGGACCTTAGTCTCCCCTCCAGGCTGGGCTGGAGACCCCACGTCCTGGCTTCCGAGAGTCGTTACATCGCAAGGATTTTTTGACAATAGACATCAAACGCAGCCAGTACTGAAAATTAAATTACAGGTACCTAAAAAAAATAAAAAATAATAATAAATTACAGGTACCTAAAACTTAACAAATCATGTAAAAAGAAAGATGATAAATACTGAACACGCATCACCTCCTCGTTACTACATATTGCTCATTAGCCCCGCTCTCCGGGTGACTGGCGCCTCCTGCCTCTACGTGGAAATGCTACGTGATGGTCTCTCCCCAATTT